TGCCGGCTGTCTCGCGGGATCACCGAGCTGAAAGCAGATTCCGCGCGTCTCGTCTACCCTCCCCTTTCAACCGCCCATTTTCCAACCCTCCGTTTCCCATCCAGTTTCAATTTACCGGATCCGCCAGGAGTCTGCCGATTCTTAGTGTTTTTTCCTCGAGAGCGGCAAGAGCATTTCCCGAGAAATCGAATCGAGTCGCGGCGAAGAAAAATGGCCTCCGCGGCGAGTAGGAAAACCCTTTCTCGTTCTCGGGATGCGGCGGGTTGCTTCCTCGATCCTTCAAGAATTTAGTCTCTCCGTGGAAGATGGAGTTCTTCCGCCACTCCACGATCCGACGCATTTCCGACTAGGACCTGAAATCTTCTGTCTGAGATAACGTTCGATGTATCATTCCCCTTCGTTAATAATTCTTGAAAATATTGGAGAAACGCTGGATTCTTGATGGATGGATAGATGGATGGATAAATGGATGGATGGATGGATGGATGGATGGGTGGATGGGTGGATGGTTGGAAGATCATTCTGGTTCAATGTTTCTTGTTATCTAAATAGATCTGTTTAGATTGTTCTAAATGTATGATTTGTAGACTATTTTTGTACATTTACAATGCTTAGTGGGAGCATTTGCACATCACTACATTTATTATAGTATTTACATACTGATTAATTAGGTGTAAGTTTATTAAATTTCGTATCATTTAGAAATACTACTGAAAATACATTTAAAATCTATTTTAACACTATGAGAAATATATCTTAAATAATTTCTAAAAAAGTATATATTTAGTATTTTAATATTGTAAAAATAAAATATTGAATCTGATAGCAGAATCGTTTCGTTGGAAAATGAATTGAGAAAGTACGTGTAGCCTGTATAAAAAATTTGGAGATGCAAAATGCGCAGAAAGTACTGTTGACAGTAATTCCCAGTTATATTTGTATCTTTTTTGGTTGAAATTTAAACAACTTCTATAACATTGTGTCTTATAACGTGGAATACATTTTACTTACATGTGCAACAAGCGTCTGTTTTCAAAAACTTTTTATCTCGACGATACAATAATTTTGCACTTAGAAAACTTGCGGCTTAAGTAAAATTACTTTGGAAAACTTAGATAAACTTAGACTTCCGCCATGTAGGTTGCTATCGATCCTATGTAAATATTAAGATAGTTAGAAGTTAGAGCAAAGAAAATACGAACAAGCTGTACATTCGAGAATTTTAGAAACTTCGATGTTATGAAACATACCACACTGTAAAACTGTAAAACTGTAGAAAAGTTATTTATGATTATTGTAGATCGGAAACTCCAAAGGCATATTGTCAACTTATTTGATTTTCATGAAAAAAAATATTACTCACGTGAATATTACAGATGTCGTTGGAATTCAACAATACGCATTTCACTGCACTCCAAGTTCATAGAAGCCTGTGTTCGATAAAACAACAAACGTGGCTAAATTTAACTCTGTGCAAATTCAAAAAAAAATATTCACGCATACGATAAAATAATATCTTTCATACTTACAATTCGGAATATTGATCTGCCATAGAAATTGTTTTTAACTATTTTTATCTTTATATTATATTATCATTTTCTATCATCGCGTTCGTTAACGCTTTAGGCAAGTGGAATCTTCGCAATGTACGTCAATACATCAATTTCATAGCAGAAGAAGAATAAGAAGAGAAAATATAGGAAAACACTGTGCTGTCAACGTGATATGACACGACGTGATGACGATCCTGTTCGATTTATCCTAAATCGACGCAATGGTGCTTAATTGGCCGGACCAAAAATTCCAGAGCTAAACGAAAATTCAGTTTAATTAATACGAATTAACGTGTAGCCGACGCACAACGACGATGAACGGTGAAATAGTTTCCGGTAAATTAATTCAAGCCAGTGTCGGGAATGTGTCCGCCGCGCGTTTCACGGCGAGTCCCATTTTACTCCGCGATTCAACGTCAATTAAGTTTGGTTCTGCGCGATTTTCGACGATCTGATTAGCGTACGTTGTAATATTCTGCATTTTTCACATGTTAACAACTGTGAATATCTTGGAATGCTTGGATTTTGCGTAGTTGGATTGAGCCAATGAACAAACCAAAGATCAAAGGAGAAAAATATGATGCGTATATTTCTATCAATTCTCGGAATGCCATTTTATGGATAGTATTTTAATAGGACACAATCGAAAATGAAAACCACTATATCTAATACTATACGATTTCATCAACGAAAGTTAAGTTACCTTCTAGAAACTCAGAAAACTTGAACGAAAGATACATATATACCCATGCTAACAAAAAAGAAAAAAAAAATACAGAGTAATTGGAAAAAATGTAATTTGTTAATTATTTGTTAAAATTTTCAAAAATAGAATAGATAGTGTCTTCACGTTCTACCAAAGCTTAACTAATTTCAGTAATATTATACCGCTATACTACTAGTATAATGCCGATACGGATTCCCTTTTTAATTTCGAAGTAATAGAATATCATAGCGTGTTTGTGTGTGACGTTCACGCTTTCGACAGTTTATATTCCGGCGTCAAATTAATTATCTTGGTTTACTCGTTTTGTACTCGATAGTAATGCCATGGTTTAATTCGTTCGCTTTAAATGGAAATCCAATTGATCGTTTTTGTGCTTGCCCTTCCCGCTATTGTACACGTTGCAATCATTTTTTTTTTTTTCGATTATCCTGAAATTTGTTCGGTGTTCGATTAATATCCTCGAAATGTTTTACTCGTTGTACTTTGCTAGAAAGACGTTTATTGCGACTAAATAAATATAATCGAAGATTACTGGGCAAATATGATAAGTTCGTTTTTCTTGATTTTCTGGTCTTAATATCGTTCTATAATTTGGTAATAATAAGACAATAACAAACAACTGCGTTAACAAATTAACAAGAATATATAGAGGAAAGTTAGTTCGATTATAATGTAAACTTTCTACTTAGGAAGTTCTCTTCTCTACTAGATGATAGGACGGTTGTCTCGCGCCGGAAAATTGCTGCCGTCTTATGTATATCAAAGAGGAAGGATAGACAAAGGAAGATAAAGAAAGGATAGAGACAGAGAATAGGAAGAGAAAGCGAAAATTTAGAAAGTTTGTAACTGGGTCTGGTCGCCAAATGTGTAATAACGAGGGTAACCAGGTACGAGCGAACCCTGAGAAAAAATTCAGAAAAAGAATAGGTAGGAAGTATTTAGAAAAGAAAAGAAAAGAAAAAGTTAGGAAGAGTTTTTTTATTTTTTGACGAGGACATGGTAACAAGATAAAATGAAGATAACATGGTACAAAGCTGCATACCTTTAAAAATAGCTGAAAAATTGGCAAAGTTTTATAGAAGTCAAAGGTGCAATTATTTAGACAAATACTATTTGAGTATCTTTGATAATGGTATATTATGACGAATAATATTTTTAAAATTATGGAAAGGATACAAAAAATTTTAATAATATGAGCTTGATCAACCACGTAGTAAATTTTTAAACTGTTTTCCTGTAAAGGAAAAAATCACTGTAAAGTCAACTTTAACAAAACACAACTAAGATCTTTACACAATTTCCACGTACGGCGGGAGGGTGAAAGAAGACCGTGAAAAGAAACAAAGGACAAAGAAGCAAGTACATTTGCATCGCGATCATAAAGAGGTCAGATTGAAGCCAGGCAACTCACGGAACAGGTAAAACCGGCGAGGTTAAAGACGACTTCAAAGGCGAACAAATTGGAGAAAGCTTGGGAAAGGGAGAAGATACCAGAAAATTAGAGAGAAAGATACAAAGGAGGGGAAAAGGTTGAAGAGAGTGGTTTAGAGAAACGAAAAGGAAGAGAGTAGGTCAAATGCATGCAGGGATGAAAAGGAAAAGGGAGGCAAAGGGGTGAGAAGCGCGGAAAGAAATCAAAGGGATAAGGTGGAAGAACAAAGGTAGGGAACGAGATCAGGAAGCGAAGGTAACTATTTGACCGTGCAAACGGTGGATAGAATTCGATATATATTGGAATGAGAAAAGGGTATCGGGTTAAAGGCAATGGGATCAGTTCGATTGCATTGTATCCAGACGGTCGAGTCAGATGCACTTATTGTCTGTCGTGAACACGTTCTATTCGTGCTTCTCTCTGGCTCGTGTGCACGCGCGATATCGTATACACCTATGTGTAAAAAGAATCGGTCGAAAAATAAACAAATGGAACAAACAATAGGAAGGATGAATCGATTGAAAAATATTATCGATTTTCTCGCGGCGACTTTACGATTGGTTTTCGGTATATCTTGTATGTACATGTGTGGTCAATTTTTATCTTACATGGTCAAGTTTTTAGAATGTCTATAGACGGCGGATTTTTATGCACATATGGAAATTTCGTCATTAGGACTAACTAACAATTAGAATGTAAAACCTCAGTGTCGAAATACCAAAGAAATGAAGAAGTATGTATATGGTAATATGTATATAATTACATAATACTATATATAATATACAATATGTATATTAAAATATAATTATCTCTAATTCGTCTGTTATACTTATTTGAATGTATTTATAGACATTAAATGAAACAAATATTTAGAAATGTTTTGAAATATCTTAAAAAGATAATATTTTTATAGTTGATTTGACATTATCTATGTCTTTAGGGACTATACTGAAATCAAAGAAAGTCTACGTGTATATAAATATATCTTGGTATTATATTGATCAAGACACTAAAACATAAATTATTATTTACAATTATAATGACCATATCAAAATTTAAAACGTAATATCGACATACTATGATGTAAGCCGGAATAAATACATTTTCCCAACTAAATATTCAACCAGATGGAATTCCAAATGACGAGCAAAAAGCAAGTTACGTATCTACAAGATTTGCACGACCAGGAACCCGATACACATAGAGAAACTTCATCCAGTTGAACTTTGCTAAACGACTTAGCAAACGTTCTCTGCTAACGGTGACACGAAATTATTTTCTGTTACAGTGGTCAAAGGTACAGCTGGCGAAATTCTCAATTCTTGAACACCAAATGGATCCGAGCAGCAACTTTAGCAGCTATCGCAGCACCCTGAAAGCAGCGATGTGGCGTAGCGCCGGCGCTACGGACGAACGACAGAGGATCGTCGTACCCTTCTTTAGTTTGCTGGTCAAGGATCTCTACTTCCTGAATGAGGGATGCAGCAACAAGTGAGTAAAAACCTTGGACTCTGGTATTGATTATTTAAAAGCACTCGAGGAAATTTCTGGTTTCATCAAAGTTTCAGAGATTCGTTCTGATTTCCGATCCTTAAGTAATTACGATTTCGATCTCGAAACAGAAACGACCAGCTTCAATGCTGTCTATATGATAATTTAACAGGGTGAAAGACTTGCCAACAAAAATCATCAAACCCATAAACAATTGTATACATTTTATAAAGGCACTATCTCCAATTATAATACACTTTCAATAGAAAGAACAGAAGAGCAAGAAAAGATAGTAAACCTTTTGTAAATCAGATAAAAGAAGAAATATTCAAACAAATCCATTTCAAAAAATGTTATTGAGCAATTAAGAGGTAGCAAAAGATCTTCATTACAAAGAATTAACGGTTCTAACGTCGCTCATAATTGCTTATAATTTAAAATATAATTATAATAACGTACAATTTAATATAAAATTATACAGAATTTAATACTCAATTTAAACATTGATTAAAATTACCAAAGTACAACCTGCGAATCCTTAATTGCAACTCAATTTTCGTTTAAAACCCATTCTTCTCTCTACAGCCCTTAAATTTCAGTTTCAATTATAATCGCCTTTGATCAACGATTTTATAATTTCGCGTTTCCACACAGGAATATAAAAACTATCCTGAAAATCGTACCAGGTGGAATATTTATAAGGTAATTTAAGTTGGCGATTGACATGGATGCTGAACGTAAGCTGAGCGTTGAAACGCGATCGCCGATTTCCTGCCGGGGGCCAATACGAACTTTTTACCGAGTTCTTTTCGTTTGAAGGTTCGATAATTTTGTTCCTGCGGAGGCGATACGTTGACAGGAAGCTCGTTTTCTCGCGAAGTGCCCGACCTTTCGGTTCTTTTTGTCGGCCGTATTTATCAAGACGACGAATGTGCCGTGCCATTTCCTTCGCTTTTCTCCGCGCGAGAAACGTTCCCTCCGTCTCCCGACGTCATCCCTTCTCCCAGCTGTACGTGTAAACTTATTAAACTTGTAATAGCAAAAGTTGTTTCCTCGTAGCTTGACTGGAAGTTGTTGAAAAGAAAACAGGAAGACTCAGGGAAAGAGGGATATGTACTAGAGAAAGGAACGGAACCCTTTCCTTTTCTCGGAGTCTGCTTTTCTATTACGAACTTATAAAAAGACCTGCAAAGTGTGTGCAATTGTTTATCTATATAATAAGTGACGATATTTCTTGAAACGAGTTAATTTGAATATCCCACGTCTATTTCTTTCAGAAGATTTATTGTTTCTTTTTCTTTTTCATAGTTTCTATTGAAAGAGCGTCTTCATTAAAGCGTCGTATAAAATGTGTACAATATATGACCAGTATTTCGTAACACGTGTACGATATAGGCAGATCTAAGCGACGGAAAAATATATTGAAGGAGAATGCTTATAATGTCTGACAAATTACTGTCTAGTACTACTTACAGATTTTGTTTTACTTAAAGTGTATAGAATAAAGAAGTATTACAATTTATGGCACGTATTATTTTACTTTATTGATTTGTTTGTATATTTTAAAATCGAATGTATGAATTTTCTGAATTGATAAATTTTATTATAATTTAAAATACGCAAAGCGAATGTTCTCTTCTTGCCAAATGAAAGAGACAGGTATTTAGTAATCGAGAAATACTTGTACCATTTGATTAAATGCTATGTAATGGAGCATTCAGCCGAACAATATTATCGTCAATATTTAACGTATGTCAGAGACCTCCTAAGCTTCAGACGATCAATATATATTGTCAATACAATATTGAGAACTTTACACATTGATAATGATATTGATCGTCTGAACGCTACTTAATACTACGATCAATCAAATTATGGAAACCAAATTATGGAAACGAATAAAATAAACCAATACAATATACAGTCTCCAAATATTATATACAATATTTCAGAAGTTAATATTTTTCTTCGTTTTTCTAATAATCCTTTAAAATCGTTCATTTTCCATGCCATGTAAAGATTCTAATAATCTCGGTTCACGACGATCGTTTTATGGGTCAGCTCTGATTAATCATCACAATGATGGGCATCTGAGGTAGAACGTTTTTTCGTTCAAAAAGCTCATTACACATGCGATAGCAAGGTGAAATGAAACCGTCTCTCGAAAGCGGCCACTGCGTAGCCACAAGAAGTTTCATTAGAAAAACAATTTCTATTCGAGTAGAGTGGTTCCACTACTTGAGACGATATTTACTGAATACCCGCGTGTATAATTCTCCCAGATACGCGACTGCACAAAAGTTGGGATTTAATGAATTTTTCACTTATATGCAGATCAACTACATACTCTTATATATATGTAGGATTTTATATATTAAAGTGGGATTTTTTGTCAGTTTAAAAGTAGAAATATCTCACGTACATACACCTATACATGCACCTTCACCCAGAAGTATTCATTGAGCAGTATTCTTGCTGTTCTCTGTCGAATTAACTTTAAACTGTCTCAATAATAAGATTTAAATAACTTAAGTCGTAACAATGTACTCATATAACTTATGACTCATGACAATATTAGACAGTTATCATCTATATAACATTTGCAAAAGAAAATATTTTCTTGTGTACATTGAATTAAAATTTTCTGCGAATATAACGTTCTCATCAATTATTCATAAATTAGTTAATCATATCATTATTAATCATATCGACTGATCATTATAATTTGGAATGTGAATGCAAAAGTTTTAAAGCGGATAAACTCAAGCTTTTGGCTAGTGGTGTACACGTATACATGCGCATGCCCATTCAACGTATGTACGTTAAAATCATAACGGCGTATATTATGCCCGGAATGGCGGACGCACGGTAGAAAATTCGCGGAAAATGCGAATTCGTGCAGATAGGCAACGTCTGAACAGTACGGAAACATTTCACTGAATCGCACACAGCAGATCGTCGTACAGAGATACGCTGGTACAAATCGCTTCAAGACGTATGTATATAGGCTACAGATAAATGTCCACGTATTATGCATTTTGTCTGGATCACATAATACGCAGATCGAGAACTGTGGCTGATATTGGCTCAGGGAAATAACGGGACGCATTGTAATGGCTTCGAAACAGTGACACATGTGCGTGGTTATTCCAGCTTTCCTTCGATTTATGGGCGATTGATTCGTATTTTATTTTGAAAGTTGTTTTATAAAAGAGACTACAGCTTCTAACGTTACTATCATGCATTCTGTGTGCTTTGATGCACGAATATTGTGACAATTTTTTTATGTTAAACCATAAAGTTATTGGGATTGAAGTTAGAGATAGGCTAACTTGATAGTTAGGTCGTTTTTCAATCAGAAAAATTTCTTGCGCGAGATTGAAAATTAATAAATGGACAACTAATTTAATTAACTAATTTTACCCAGGTTAGTTTTAATTCTTATAAATTTAAAGAAACAGAGGCACAAAGTTAAGAAAAATAATTGTTGTATTATATTCTGTTTATTTAAATTCTATTATATTAACCTGATATTCTTATCTCCATATTATTACGAATACGAAATCCTCTATTATATCTCGACCCAAAATTATTCGAAAATTTCCTATCTAAAATCCATCCACGTTGTCACGTTTCCATTGCAAACACGATCCATGTCTCAGCCATTAACGCGTTCACCCTTAATACGAAACGACTGTTCCGGCAAACCGAATCGCGTTATAGTATCAATTTCCTTAGAAAGCGGCACAGTTCCCAATACGTACGACGGAGTTTAATAAGGGAAAAGAGCCTCCTTCCCAGCAATTATCCTTCCTTGTCGTCCGTGGACCGAATCTGTAATAGAATTTCGATCCTACATAGGACGAGGAACGAGAAAAGGGTAGACGGAGGAAAGATAGGTTTCTCGAAGGCAACGCTGGATGGATATTGACCGATCGAGGCATCCACCGGGCGAAGACGAATAGCTGCGCGTATGTAAATGTCTGTTACGTGAACGTAACGCGAACGTCGTACAGCCGGAAGCGGGCGCCGATGCTACGCGAATTCGCACACTTCCGACCCGCACGATAAATTGCCCAAGTTCGACTCGTAATTTCACCCACGCTTTCGCGCACATGTACGTGTCTTCGCGCGTTCCCTCGTTGTATCGTCACATGCTCCATGGTTCGTCACATACAGTGTACAGTAGCTTACAAAAGTATTTCAATACCTATTTATAGAGACGTTTCATGAATGTATTATGTGTGTTATACAAAACATTTTGAAATTTCATTAGCAGTATAACGAGACGCGACTCGTGATTACGTTGATAACATTTGAAATTAATCTGAAAATGTATATTATCGATTTGGGGTTAGGTTTAGGTTATCGAAAAATTTTTCAAGAAGAGATTCATGAAATTATAGATGACAAAAGTCTTCGCAAGTATTTCTCAACTTCCGTTGCAAATTTTTCGAGTAATCTAATAGAAGTTACGAGATATTTACTGGACTATCATCCAACTTATGAATGATACTTCTTTAAACATTACTTTATTTGATAAAAATTTATAATAAAAATGCTACAAACTTTTTTGAAAGAATCCAATATACACATTTTCAAATTGATTCCAAATTTGACCAATATAATCATGACAGTCGTGCCTCGTTACAAAGCTAATGAATTTTCAAAATGTTTTATATAATGACATATCTTCATACAATATATACATAAATATTTTCCACAGTAAATGTTCAAATGTATTCCTGAACTATTGCATCTACACATACTATATCTGCTAAGTAGAAAGAATTATTTCCTTCTTCAATCGAACCCGTGAATCGGTAGATGGTTGATGAATTCTTAAAAGTTCTTTTGGAATTGGAAATTTGGTTGAGCAATAGCTGATATTACGTGCATGTATTCGAAGATTTATATTGGACATGATTTGTGGATGAATAGCGTTTTTCGTTTAGTCAAGCTTCGTGAAATTCGCGAACGGAAAATATTACTCATTTTATGTCGATAGAAGGTTTTGATAAAAAGTTTTGGTAATTTTTCTTTTAACTTTCTTTTAAAAAGTTTCTTTTCGTTGTGATTGCATTTTATTTCGTTCGAAGCTGTCTTACATGCGTTTTTTAAGATTTGTATTCGTATAATTAATACATTAAAATGGCTTTTAACAGTATCATAATGATTTTGAGGTAGTACTTTTTCGTTATGATTCATCTTCGACATGGCATTCGCTCTCTTTTTTGCTCGCTTCCTCTTTTCCCTAAGAAAGACCTTAACAAGTTCCAAGATTGTTTGCACGTAAAATTACATTGCTTTCGAAGAGTACATAAAACTTAATGGGACTACTTGGAAACTTTTTGAGACTTCCTCGCGAACTGACCACTTTGAGCCCACTTCTTGAAATTATAAAATGAAGAAGCATAGAAATACCCTCTTCAAATGAACTTTCCTTTTACCGAATAAAATATTCAGTTTCAATATTACTTTCTTACAATAAGAATACACATATCGAACGGATTATTTTAGAGATTCCTTAAATAATTAAAACGATTTTAGATCCACGTGGAACTTTCGTAATGCGTGGATCGACTTTCCATTATCCTTTTCTATCATACTATTATTAAATAGGAGGTAATTAGCTTTTCTTCATTTACTCAAATGAATAAAATACTTGAAAATATGTTTTAGAAGAATTACACAGATTCTAACAAGCGGTAATAATAAGAAAATAAAAAATACAATTCTTAAAATTTAACAAAACTTCATCTTGATCGTAAACTACGACGACTCTTGTAATGTAATAACTTCTGTAATAAAATTGTCTGTTATATTGCTTCCCAACAATTTTCTCTGTTTCAACTTACTTCGTACCGTGCAATACGCATTAATTTCATAAAAAATTAGCGGCTATCAAAATATTGCAAAACACATCATAATAAAATACGACATATGCGAAGATAAAATAAAAAAAGTCTCGGATAGTAGCTTAAACGAGTTAAATATTTTTGCAAACTCGAATGTAATGATAAATAATGATATTAATGATAAAATACAAATGCGAATGGGCGAATCGAAATTGACTAAGTCGGAATTAATCAAAGCGTGCATCAAACCGAAGACTGATTGATGCGTCCTAAGCCTGAAATTTATGGAGCTAACCATTAACTTAACATATCAGCGTATCTCTCACACGGGCTAATACGATCAGGATTATCCGAAATTAATTTAACAAAATAACAGGAGACCGTTATTCTGCACAGGACGGCTGACACTGTATAAACACAAGCCAACGTACATTAAAGGATGTAACGTTGTTGTTGCTATCGACCCACGATACTCTGAAGAGACCATTCTTGACCGATAGTGAAACATTCGCAAAGCGTTTGATAACAGTGAAACTTTTAATGATTACATGCGCAGATTGCTATTTAGATCCACGATACTGCGTTGAAAGTATTCTTAACCACTAGTAGAATATTGACGAGCTACTTTTCAATATCGATAAAATTTTTAATGATCATAAAGTAGATGAAATTTAATAAATTGGTTAAAAGCTTAAAAGGTTTATTATATCGAACCTGGGTACTCTGATGAAAGTATTCTTCATCGCTGGTAGAACATTGACAAGGTTTTAGACGTCAATGTCGACATCAATATTAACGATTATAAAGCAGATAACATTAGATGAACTTATTAAAAGCTTGGGAAAAAATTTTAACGAGTTTAAATTGACCTACGAGTTAAATATTTCTTAAAAATATAAATACTTTTCATTACGTTGTGCCACGTAAAAGAACAACAATTTTAAACACGATATTTACCATTAAAATAAAATATAAGAACTCTTCAAGCTTTTGATTAAAGGATTCTTAATTCATTATTTAATATTTATACATATTGTATTTTTTTATATTTATTTATACATTAATCCTGTCGTAAAACTATCGTTTCAGATTACCAAATGGACACATTAATTTCGAGAAGTTCTGGCAACTGGCGAAACAGGTGACAGAATTCATTGCTTGGAAACAAGTTGCTTGTCCATTCGAGAAGAATCCGCGTGTCATTGCTTTCCTTCAGGCGAGCCCGGTGCTGACTGAAAATGGTAAAAGTTTTTAACCTGTTTTTATTCGATTCGTATATAAGAAGAGAATTAATGAATTGAAAATACAATAAAGAACAAAAGTAATTGAATGAAACGTGAAATTGCTTTTAAATTAATCGGTAAAGAATAGAATAATATTTAAAAATAAGATATTACTTTCGAGAACTCGTATAAAATAAAATTGCATTGCTGTTACAATATTTCAGATTATTTCATTGGAAACTAAAGTAACCTTTCTTTTGTAATTAATAAAAAAGAAACTATTTTTAGTTATTTAGATATTAAAAAATATTTTATTCGTTGCAAGCTTCGCCAGCATTACTCTAATTTATTTCTTTTGATAATATAGCTTTAGCTCTGGCGTCTTTCGAGTGTGAACCACCAGACAACAATCCAGAGAAAGAACGTTACAAAGCATTGAAGTAAGTGATCTCAATTTACGTTTAACAAAAGTCTTTAAACTTTAAATTTTTATCTGATACTATGCATCTAGTAAGAATTCAAAATCATAAAATTCAAAGTAGTTCTTCCAATAGTAAGTGAAATAAATAGATGAAATCTCTACTTATGTTCCATCTTTTTATTTATACTCATAAAGAAAAGAATTTACAGAAAAGAATTTGTACTCCATAACTTACAATTTAGGATAAGTTACAATTTACGTAATGATAATATTAACAAAATGTAATAGAAGAATTTTTATCGTTTTTATTTATTTAATATCTTATTCGACACAAATCTGACATTTAATTAAAACACAGCTTTCAGTCGCACTAAATCACGTTCGTTTTCTTCAACTTCCTCTCGGCAGGTCTGAACTGAACGCTCAGTGAAAAAGAGCAATCATGCAACGCGTCGAATGGGAGCGATACTGAGATAGACGCACTCTTCTAAACTTCGTTCCAAACAATTAATCAGCCACGAATCTCTCTTACGAAAAGGGAAAACGAGCTTAAGCAACTAACATCCAGCGAGAAAACAGCGAAAAAGAGAGAAGAACATCGCAATCGTGAACAAGAGACACCCGTACGATGACGAAACGTAAGAAAAAGAAGAAAATTCAAATTGTAGCGATTTGCTCGCGAACGACAAACGAGAAGAAGAAAAACAATGATTCATCGTAGTGATCTCGCGTCATTTAAGGACACCCTTTAAGTGTACTAAAACGATCAGTGCAATCGTCTCGACACTTTCTATAAAATGCTCTCAACTTCGAATTCCATTTCTCTTAACCACCAATTTATCAAATACTTTATTACACTTTTCAGTCGTGTATTACGTAAAACAATATTATACGTATATCAATACGACTTAAATTTTATCGAAATGAAATCTCATCAGACCGAATCTTCGAATCGAATTTACAAGATCGAAATAAATATTCGATCGTGTTCCATTCACAGTGTTGTTGCATTACATACATCGAAGCAAAGAGCGCTCTTCAAAGAAAGAGACATCATAGGTAAAAACTGCTCGAAGAGGCGACTCTAAGATTCCAAAGTTCGAACAAAGGAAACAGAGATCGATTGCACCGATTGAAATCGTCTATCGATCAAGCGTACTTCGGTATACATTGAAAACGAAGCTGATCTGTTAGTACGAACATGAAAAAAAAAAATTCATTGAACAGTATCGCGTAGCAGTAAGTATAGTTCCTAAGCCCGAGGCCGAACGAAGAATCGTTCCTCGATCGCGAAAATTTCACAATTGTGGCACAGCCTCGTGAACATTCGTTTTCGAGGAATCGTTTCGTACATTTTGGCCGACCCTTTTTGTACATAGTCCTTTTGATATACGCTAACAAAACTCCTAGGTGTGGAACAGAGGATAATGGAAAAATAATAAAAAAGAAGAAAATAGGTTCGTTCCTGTAGAGTAAGCTCGAACGTTGTCGTTTTTAAGGTTCTAGGTTACACGTTAGTAACAGACGACGGTCGTCGTGCACGTACTTAACGAACGAGAAAGACGAAGAGAGGAAAGGGAAAGATAGAGAGGAGAAACGTTTGACAAGATCAGTAAGAGAGGACACGACCCGGTAGTAACGCGCGCGGCTTTATGCCGTTTGCAGCTTTTCAAAAAGCGTTTCCATTGTCCCAATGTTGACGATGTCGTTTGGGTTTTTTCGAGTGTTCACGCGGTGACGAGCGCGAGATTACAATTTCTCTCTTTTTTTTTTAAATACGTTCGTCTGTACTTTTTTCGCGAATAAAAAAATCCTCGTGTAAGAGTAAATCTTTTTTGGTCTCGGTGAACCGTTTCATTCGCGTCTACCTAATGGAGATATGTTCATTAGAATTTTTATTTTACATACATATGTATATTACCGCTGAGAAGTATCCAGATACCTGGTTATTTTCAACAGAATATATTTTAATTAGAAAATTACGGATAAATCAATGGTTTTATCCTTTATAATTATTATAGCTACGTACAATATGCTGCGTATTAGCATAGTGCTGTAAGTCAAAATTTTAACAATCACGTGTTTTAGCTTTTAAATGTATTGTCTCTTTAGTCTCATAATTAATTAAGTTCCAGTTTTATTCTCTATCATAATATACTTTCATAATTTAATGAAATACAATCAAGCTTTTATAAACTAACAGTGAACTGACTTACATCATTATAATCCTTGCTAATTGATTTTTGCAAATCGTTAAAACATATTACTGCCATGTTTTTTAATGGATAATTTAGATTTATGCCTTGGTGATTTCATAACAGGTAACAAGTGCTGCTTCTAGTTACTCATATAATAATTCATCACTAATTTGTATACTTTGATTAAATTCATGCACTGTTACCACAAATCGATCAAAGTATCTGGATATGTACGCACGGTGATGTAAATATTAAATCGAAGCAATTTTGGAATATCGTTAAAAGCTTAACGTTAAAAGTTTCATTTGGCTTGCGGTAATTTTAGCGGCGACGTTAACGCGTACGTCGTTTGATAGATTGATTTTTAGCTCGCTATGTATGCTGTATGTGATACATTATAAAAAGTTAATCGAAGGTTCAGCGTATCGAGAAAATTTCACTCGAGAACTCACTTTTATTTGTATATGAAAATCAAAAGGGAAAAATGTGGTAAATCTATTTCTGCCAATTCTCCGTTAGATATTAGTAGCGAAAGTTAAAGTTTAACAACATGGAAGGCTTTTCATGATGTTAAAAAAACTAAGTTTCCTTTTTCTATAAAACATTTTTTTCATGACAGAAGAGCCGGGAACCTGTAAGAATTATCTCAAGGAATATTTTGACAAGTGAAATAAGCTTTTTAAAAATATAATCTCGAAGCTACTCTTTGAACTTGAACAGCTATTAAAAACGAGAAATATGACTTATCACGTCTTTCACCTATGGTATCCGTATATCTTCGTGTGCTTCTACAAGAATCGAGAAGTTCTTGTCTCTCTACTGAATATCAGCTGAAAAAGAAGAGAAAACATTTGAAACGCGCGCGTCACCGTTAAAATCTAACTTCGTATTTTTGAACAAGTTTGAACAGAGTATGATCGATCTGTCCGAAATCGAGCCCAGTAATAAGGTAATGACTTTTTCTTTTCCTTTTATTCGTTCTCCGAATGAACTCGCGATACAAAAGGAAGAAACGCAGAGATAAATGGACGAACTGAGGGCGAAGGTGTTTTGAGAAAAATATAGGGACCAAGAGTTCGTTTTTTCAAGAAGGTAACCGAAAAATCGTGAATCGTGATCCAACGATCGCGATCTAAATGGAGGAAACGCAAAGGCAGACTGTCGAATTTTCCGCTCGCTAACTCGTAGCTTCGCGTACTGAGAGAAACACCTTTGCAGTCATTAGGCATTTAAGGCTAATCTAGGCGATTTGCGTCTAGTTATAATTACGAGCTGCGTACAACGTATCAAATAATTTGTTATTTTTATTTAAAATATCTGCAAGATATATGATGTATCTAATTATTCACTTGATTAATTATTTTCATCGTATGTAAAAAACTGTTTCGCAGTTTAAATACTATGAAAGTACGCATTCACACGCGATAAAATGTATTTGTACATTGTTCTATTTTAATTTAATTATTTATACGAACGTATTGTACGTTTTCTTTTGCACTCCCTGTACGGCGAGTTCTTTAAGACAAGTTGAGCTTGTGTTTGAGTAAACGAACTATTTCGTAGGAGTTTTAAATAACGTATTCAGTAAATGTGTACAAATCTTTTGTTATACGTTTGTAGTATTATTTTCGTGAGTTTGTTGTATAGATATTGGGTGAAAAGTATTTAAACGAATCAGAGGCAGCTCTTCTTGCCTTCAGCTTTTAGATTGTAGTCTAGTGTATCTCTTTTTTACTGTTCCTGTGTTATTTATGCGATCGTATTATGGATGTAGAAGGAAAATTCTGTAAGTTCTAAAATTGAGGTTTTGAGAAAAATACTTTCCTTTTTTTCACAAGAAATATAAAAATTTCTGTTCTATTATTTTTCATCCTGGAAGAATGAGAAGATTACATTGAATTACAGATTGTTGTATAATTTGAAACTGTGACATTCTCTTTTAAAAATACGATTATCCATCGTTATATTATATTTTATACAATTTCTCAATTTCGTACAATCTTGTACATCCTACAATTTCAAAATGAATAACTTCAATTAAATATAAACTTAACGGATTTTTCTTAGATAGCCACGGTGTTATACAATATGCAATATTTTATTATCGCAAAATATTTTTCTATACTTATCTAACGCACGATGTTTATCCGTTTATTTATAACGAAGTATCTTTAACGCTCTGTTTCGCGTCACAATAAACAGTAAACGTTTCTCGTAGGTGTTAGCACCTTCGATAAATGTATCTTGCTCGCCGTTCTCTCAGTACGAGAATCAGAAAAAGAGAAACAAACGTGTATCATATGCAACAGAATAGCGTCGTATGTACGAGGACGAACCAGAGTCTACGCGAAGATCGCGTAATAAAGAAAGTATAATTCATTGATCGAGCCACCAAAATCGGGGATATGTTATACGCCAGACTCCTTTCTTTGGAAATCGTTTGATAAAAATCATCATAGATGTATATTCCGAGGAATTCAAACGATATTACAACAATCGTTCTAACGTAAGTTTTTAGTAACATTAGGATAATTTAATTTTGACGAAAATTATCGTACGTGTTGATGAAGGTATTAAAATGTTAAAAAATGACAAAATCGATGGTGGATGTAATGAAAAAATTCTAACTTAATATTTTGGTGGATTAATTCGATTATAGTATGTTATATTAATTTGTATAACACAATTCATAAAACATTCAGTGACCAGACATAAACCAAGCTCAATTTACCCCTGAATCTAATCTAGATGTAATTCAGTCCTAACTTACACCTACCATCCAACATAATCCAGTCCATCATTCGACTTAATCGAAATGTAATTTAGATAACGAATCGATTTGATCATCCCCTTGATCTAGTTCAAATTGAAGCTCTAGAACTATTAGGTGCCTGTGTAAATATCTATTTAATCTTATTTACACAATGGTCATATGAGTATATATGTATATATTTTAAATTGTGTAATACAATGTTATTTTTATCAGGAACTTTCGTATTTGTAAAAATTGTTACTATCTTTTAATATTAAAACGCTCGTATGAATCACTTATTTGGCATGTAATAACGAGAAAAATAATAGACAAGTGTTTACTTAAATAATTTGTTAACGAAAGAATTAGATTACATCCACGTAAAATAGTAACTATTTAAAGTTCTAAAGTAATTCAATACTTCCATCGCAACACGTACATTCGCTATCAGAATCCATCGTTCCATTCGTATCACAATTCATTACAAAATTCACAATTGACTTTTGCAATCCTTCTTTCACTAAAATCACGTTCAATTTTTACAAAATTTTCTTTATAAACACTTCACCACACCTGTAAATATTCACGACGATATCTCATCTCTTTCTCCATCGATTTTATAAAACTAACATAAAAGTCAACTCTACACAAAAAAAAAAAAACTCCACCTCAAAAAATATCGCTCAAATAAATCAAGGAATGAGTCTGGCCATCCCGAGAACGTTCTCACGTTAGAATTGTAACGAACAGTCGACAATTATCCATGCACGTTTATCATAAACCATAACACGATTAATCTGTCGAACTTATCGTAAGGAGTAAATAGTTAACGAGTGTTATCGTTGTAAGCGCATCGCGTTGTCAATATTCCAAGAGAGGAATCTCTGTAATACTACACACCCATCCGAACGATCATTAACTTGCCAAGGTCCGTGATTCACGTCGGAGACGTTCACGTTCTCCCCGAACAAAATATTATAACTAAAAATTATATGCAATTCCCTTATACGAAAGTATATGCGATACCTTCTTATACAAGGTGATTTTTTCGTTAGTTGAAAAAAATTCAAAGGCAGTGCCGCCACATTGCGGATCGTACACTGTCGCGTTTTCATATTATATGTAGTATACATATATAAGTCGTTCGTACTCTAATCTAGGATCTACGGATCCTAGAAGGTCGATATTGGGTTGCAATCACGTACACTCAGTGTTAGGACACATTTTCTTCTCTTTTTCTCAAATTTGTTTAATCGTCTATCAAGACCACTTACTCTTCTTCGACTGCTTTCACATTACTTCAGGGTAATGGCTTTCAACTTCTTATCTTTAATGAGCCAAAGGCTTAAGTCGTTACATGCATATAAAATACATACAAAATCTGATATCGCTGACATATATAAACACATATATTATATAAAAAAAGACATTTTATTTATAATATCAATTATAAAATTGTAATCATCTTCAAACTGCTTAACGCTTTCAATGCTACAGATCTCATCATAGTGACACGCAGTGACACTAATTGAAATATTTCAATTAAAGAAACAATTCAAATTAGGTATGCTAAGTATTAACAGTATCCTATTACGGATGGCAATCTTGCACGTTATGACTTGACCAACTAAAAAATCACCCTGCATCTTATACGTATAATAAGAAGGTACCTTTTGCTTGTATCAAGGGAGAAATGTACGATGATCTCGTTTCGGCAGCCAGACGATTCTTTTTCACAGCCGTCTCGACTGATTTCGCGTGGACTTAACTTTGATTTCACGACGAAGCGAATGGTCGTCGCGATATTTTCTAGCGATCGCTTTTTTCTACGATTTTTCTAGCACGAAAGTGACGAAGGGAAAGCGTGTTCGAAACGACGACGAGGCGAATTTTCGACGACCAGAGCCAGGGAAATCGATCGAGCGTCGTGTGAAATCGATCTTCAAACGAGAGATTAAAGGGATAATTATAAAAAGGGCGGAGAGTCTGAAACACGCTGGCACGCGTCTTTCTGCCCCGTTTTAATGAATCCGCAAGGACATTGAACTACGTAACGATTAACCCTAATAGTTGCGATTCTGTACATAAAAAGGAAAGTCGTGTATATATATATAATTATATGACACATAAACATATGCGTATATCTATGCGTTATCTAGGGTGTAAGGTTGGATAGGTCGTAACCGAATTTAATGGAAGAGCCACGGCGTGAAAAAAACGAAGGTATCACGTGAAATGTGGTTCCTTCGTGTTTTCTTCGATGCCGTCGTGCGTCGACATAGAGAATCGAGGCCTGTCGACCACGTTAATCGCCGATCGATCGATCCGAGATCGCCTAACGATACCTTCTAGTACACAAGAACTACATTCACCTTTGAATGATTGATTGATTGATTGATTGATTCGGAGAGAATACGAACACACTTGCTTACTGTCTAGTCACTAGATCGTTAGTCGGAGGTCCGTGGTCGTGTTCGCGTCGCGATTCGAAAACACGAGCACTTGCGTTACAATGTCTTAATTAAGAATTCTTTTATGATATATTTGTGATTCTACGAGTTAAGAATTTAAAATTTATGTAAAATCCTGTTTTTATTTCGCTTCATTTTGGATTCCTTTTGTAGCCTCTTTGAGAAGAATTTTTACGGATCGGTAGAGAAAAGACTTTTATATAATATTCTGTTACATATTAATTGTAATATTGCAATTTAAATTAAAAGTATACAGTCATGTTAAAGCTTAATTAAAACTGTGTATTTTGGTTTCAAAGATTTGCGCAGTTCCGAGATTAATTTACTCGGATCAGTGGTTTTCAGTGTCAGGACCTTTTGTTACATCTTTTACATCGCAGAATTTTTTATTATTTTATTTTTCTTAATTTATTTTTCAAGTACATCATGCAGGATGTATGTAAACTGTAGATGAAGTTGAGAAATGGTCGACTGTAAACCAAGAATAACGATTAGTTTAATAATCCTTTTATAAGTGAGCTATTTTATGGATTTTATTTTATAAAAACCCTATCGTTACAATGGGAGAAAATTGATGGGATATTCAAAATTGAATTTTTTAAATATTATTCAAGTACGATGATCTTGAACATCTTACTACATTTATTTATTTGTTTTCACTTGTTATTAACTTTTAAGGAAACAAATCTACATCCAAAATGTTGTTTTAATTTCCTTACATCAAGAAAATCTTTTTATTAAATAATCTTTAAATTGAAATAAGTGCCACGTTTTCTTATCGAGTCAGAACACGTATCGCGTTATGCCTAAATTAAGAGTATTCGAGTTAGAATTAACGTTAAGTTTCGTGTTAAGCGTATTTTTGGTCGACATTCCCTTAATTATAAGGCGTTTATAATTGCACGATAAAGAGTTTTATGTAGGTCAGCGTGTTATTTCATTCGCCGATTTCGCTTGCGTGTAATTTTCTTTATTATATTTCCCCGTCGATTCCATCCAGAATAATCTCGTGACGATCGTTGTTCCTTTCCCAGTGAAGGGTCGAACATTTAAAAACTCAATCCTACTATAAAAAAAAGAAACAGGAAAAGAAAAAAATTAAAAAAAGATAGGAACAAAATCGATCGTTGCAGATTTTCATCGATCGAATTTAACGATGTTTTTTTAGATTCGATATTGAAATGAGAAAATCCATGTAACTAGTTGAACAATCGACAGCTCGATTCTCCCTTTTTTTTACCATTTACAATTCTATAGTCGAAAGTCCTTAAAATAAGAAACATACTTGTCAATATATTTAGGATATTCAATTTATACAGCTGTTAGTTCGAAAGTAATCGAATTCGTAATGTATGGAGAAAATATGGAACGATGCGTGACAATTTGTCTTTGTTATCTTTTCATTCATCAGTTGCCATTTCTTTCTATTTAAATCTATCTTACATTAAATATCTCTAAATTTTGTATTCCCAATAGAGAATGTACAATTTTTACATTATTTTCCAATTTCATTCTATATAGTTTATCCTATAATTCAATATAAAAATCATTGTGATAAAGTTCAGTACATATACCTAATGAAAGTGGAAAAAATATTCATCATCATTTTAAAATTTATAATAATCGTACAGTCTTTTTTTCATTCTAGTATTTCATCAACCAATTTCCTGTGATTTCTCGATAATTATTATTTTTATCTAATTTTACAAAGACAAATATAATATACAATGGCAAGAAGCGAGAATAAATCCATACAACTGAATAACTGCCAATGTTGCAATAAAGTCAATAAAACAAGAATTGTTTATAGATGATCCAGCTGTCGATCGATCAGCCTAAGTAGATTACGTACAACGATTTCTTACTAATGTTACATAACTTTTTGCAAATCTCGTAACATAGATTACCGAAACCTTTATACCATTTTTCTTTCTGTCGTATTCGTCTCATCGTTTGTACATCGATTTTTATTATCCAAAATACGTGGAAAATTTTGGTTTCAGCGCTTTTCGTTTTCATCAAACCGAATATGTTGGGACTATTGTACATAAATAGGCTCAAACATGTAACAGCGACAAGACAACAATTACAATTATTGTAGAAACGATGATGTCTTACGAAATAAACTACAGATTAATGGACGTTTCTCCAACGAGTATTCTTCAAAGCACCACCACACCAAAACTATGTTAAATACAACATGAACATATTTAAATAATCGAATCCGAATTGCTTTTTTAAACAATTTTAAATTATTTATAGCGATCAAAACTTTTTAAAGAAATTTAATTTTATGACCAATTCTCTTCTGAATATTTTCATACCTTACTTTGTTGATGCGAATTCATGCCAAACTTTGCAACAGATAAATTTGTTTCTTATTTTATAAATGTTTGTTGAAAATTAATATTAAATAATGAAGAATTAATATATTACACAAATTGTACAAATAATTATGGAAGTTCTTTATTGTTATTAAAATCAAACTACTTAAATAACTAATAATGTTTAACGTAATAATAATTATCCTGTATAATAACTTATATCCACAATGTTAATAAGTATACGATTTAAATATCGCAGACATTTTGTTCAGGTATTTTACAGAACAATTTTTGTCAATAAAATCATGACACAATTTTAGAGATTCCAAATTAGATTTTATCTTCCTGCAAGAGAATCTTTGATTTTTCGATCGATCCATTGACGATAATGAGAAACCCGAACATAAACACCAGGCTTATTGGCTCTTCCACAGTGTTGTCCCCAACTCGTAAGTCCATACAACGTGAAAGCTCCTACATCGAAAGAAAAAAACAAAAAGAAGAAAGATTAATAAATACTGACTATATAAAATATTGATTCTACTATAGTGATTGAATGGAAGAGGATAGTCTTTCTGATAAAAGATTCATTCCTTAAAAACAGAAGACTCGAATTAAAAATTGTAGAACTTTTAATATTCAATTAGCTTCGATTTAGCAGAATACATTTTTACTGATTTGTTGTTCATAAACTACACAATGGCTTGACAATAAACATTCAACTAGACGTATTTACTATTAAAAATATTACTTTTAAAACATGCCTTACAAATGTGTGTAAAATACGAACTTTTTAAATAGTCGTTTCGTTCTATATCGGATACAACATGGAAAAGTTTCATTAATTTGTCAAACTTTCGTAACATTACCGTTGTGTAAGCACACCAATGGTCCACCAGAGTCTCCATCACAGGTGTCAATACCCTCATCGAGGTATCCGGCACAAACCATTCCATCGCTGATTGCACCCTCGCCATAAACGTGTCCGGCACGACACACGGACTGATCTAATAACGGTATCCAGCCGTATCTCAGATCTTTGGAATGAGCTATACAACAAGCGAGCAACATATTACAGTCTCGAAGGAAATCCTCGAGTTCGTAGAAAATTATTTTAAACTCAATTTGAAGCTGATTATCCATTGAAGCGAGAAAAAATAATTTCGTATCAATAGTTAAAAGATTCACGCTAAAATTTTCTCTGAATTTAGTTTAATATTATTCCGTACCTCTGGAATTTAATTTAATAGCACCTTGATGATTTTATTTTAATCGTTAACCTAATGGTTGATCCATATATTAGTATCAATTCTAATATTTTATATCATTTATGATACATAAATATACATCATAGCAGTTTTAATATACGTATACTTTTTAAATAATTTTTATTTTCAAACACATAATATAATATAATATAATATAAACGTATTCTTTCTATATTTTTTTTAAATTACATGTCACTGAGCATTTCAATATTGAAATTAATTGATTGTTATCTTACTGATATATATTATGGTTTATCATTCAGAAAAAAGGTTTATAATAATCTTGTAAAATGCTAAAAAATGGATTATCATAAAAAATTAACTTATCACGTGTGAAAGATAAATTATTTCGTCAACTGATTTATTATTATAATATCATGAATCTAACAATTTATTCATTTTTTATTTATATTTCATTTCGTATTTATATTACTTGAACCCAATGCAATTAAAATTTATTTAATTTTGATGGCAAATCTAATTAAGGAACCATCCACTTAACAGGCTAATGATATCTTCAACGCGCCACTTACTTGATTTCCCAGTCTCGATGCTGCCAAATCCACTAATGCTGCAATTAAGACCTGCCGGATACTCGGTGTTCTCGGATGGCAGGCAAATTGGCATAACATTCTTGCCAAGAGGAATTCCTCGTTTTTTCAGCAACACGAGAGCGATATCGTTGTTCATTCGATGCCCTTTACGGAACTCTTCGTGAACGTAATAATCTTCGATATCGGCGTCGATTTCAGTTCCTTCCGTAATCTTTACGTATTCACATAATCATTACAAAACGTATTTATAATATATTCCAACGTGATTTAAACGTATATCTTAACACGAATAAAATTCTTTCATAATGTTAACGCTGTTAATTTTATACTTGAAAATTATTAGGTACGAAAGTATCTATGTAATTTTTCTAATAAATAATTTTTACCTAGGCAGCACTCGGAATGAAAGGTTTTAATTACCTCTGTATTGTAATCACCAGCACGAACGAAATAGGTTCCTTTATTGTACCCTTCCAAGCAATGTGCAGCGGTGAGCACATGCAACGGAGAAACAATTACCGCTCCACACCAATGATTCGATCTACTATGTCCTCGTACACGTATACTGGCCTACGAATATTGTCAAAAAAAAAAAATGTTAAAAAGTTACAATAACAGTATTCCACTGTGTATAAAAAGATTTATTTTTATATCTCTAGTTAATTCTATAAATTCAGACGTTCGTAATTGGTATTCGAAAAACAGTAAAAAGAAAAGAAATTTTAAGGGAAGTGCAATTGATTACTACAAATTTGTGATACGTAAATTCTATTTAGAATTAATCTATTTTCATAATTTAATAATGTAAAATTATTCAGAATTATCCAAATTTTAATCGATTCAAATTTAAAATCGAATATTCTATCAAAATGCGAGTTAATTAACATTTGTTAGTTTAACGTTAGTAAGACGTAGCTTCTTTCGACTAAGGAAAAAGTCCAATGTACCTGCCAAGGATAGGATCCTTTCGGTGCAATGTTACCTCGCACCACCTTTTCGAATATAAGATCCTCATCCTCATTGAAGTCTTTAAATCGCCTACCGCAATTGGTCGGAAGTATATCATTGATGTCCTTCTCTGGCAAACGCGACACAGTCTCCCAGTGCAACTGCAATTATTTATTCGGTGATTGCATTCGTGGATTAAGCGGACAAAGGAGATGATCAAGGTCAAGGATTCAAGTAAACAAGCCTCGTAATCGTTGCGTAAGCTCATCATTTATTGAACTAAGATTAAGCGCGCTATCGATCGTTTACAAATCTCTCGATAGTTTACTATTACAACATAGCACCGATTGAGCCATTGAGTGTCTTTTTTTAAGCTTTAAAAATTATAATAAAATTACATCATAACATTAAAAACTGAAATATGTCAATTTAATTAATAATTAATTAAAATTACATTATACAAAAGTAAGTTTCATTATTGAACTAAGTATTAAGTAACTTTGAAATTTTACCTACTATAGGAGTAAATGTTTCTGAAATTATTTTTATACAATCCAAGTTTCCTTCTGATCGTATATAAAATTTGTTTTTTTTTTTAATTAAATCATGAATGTTAGTCTCTACGTTAAACAATAAAATTAAATTAATTTTCTAATCTTTAATTTAGCTATTGAACCTTGTCTACGCAAGAGTAAATATTTCTGCAGTTACTTTTATAAAATCCAAGTCGCAAGTTTGATTGTACAAATTATTAATATAAATTTAACTTTACATATAAGTCTCTACGCCAAGAAATAAGATTAAATTACGAATTGATTCACTAATTTTTAATTTGTTCGCAGCACAGCCATCACTTTAACGTCTACAGCCAGTAAAGGATTTGATTAAATATACATCGAAGGAAATTACGATCTGACTTAGAATTTACGGCCTCTGTCGAGAGAGAATGTTTCAATTTACCTTGGAATCGTTAACGTCTCCAGGTGTACAAATCACACCTGCGTCCTCGTCGTGATTGCAATTATGTTGACCCCAGTGATTGTGCTCGCATCGATACAGCTGGGTCTCGTTTCCGTAACAGAAAACCTTAATCCGAAAAATGTTACACTTAAATAAAATTAAACATGAACGAGAAAGTGTAAATTGCGAATTTTTACAATTTACAAACTAACGACACCTTGTATTAACATGGGGCAAATTAGTAACAACGAAGAAATATTCCTATCTTTTAAATTGTACAATTATGTAAGTAGCAATAAGAAAGTAAAAATTTTAAAACGAAAGAAAGAAAATATAAATATATATACACTGAGATGAATGAAATTATTCTTGGAAAATATTATTCGATATGAGGTAGTATAAATATAAAAAAGACTTAACAAAGAAGCTACGCGTTATTAGTACAAAACAAAGGACTGCGTATTACCTAAATTAATTGATAATTGATAGAAATAAATGCCTAGAATTTATTTGATATATATTAGAATATGGTGATAATTAAAAAGCTTCCAACACTGTCCTTCGTTTGACAAAACTTACTTCATCCAGCCAAATTGGTCCTTCTCCTGGACCAAAGTAGCCGTCTTTCTTTGAAGTTGCAGGTCCACCGTATCCCAAGGATCTACAAATCACCGTTGCAGTTGCAATTGAGAAATCGTCGTCACAAACGGTACCCCATATACCATGATGACGAACTTCGACCCTTCCTTCTAGTGGCGAACTTCCATTCGCTAAACGAACCTCGAACGGTGCCTAAAATGAACATTTACGCAAAAGTTTTTAAAAGTTACTATTAATACGATCGTATAAAAACATTATTAGCATCCGTATATACAACATCAATATTTTCTTTCGTCTTATTTAATAGAATCTCAAATTTGGTAGAATCTTAATTCGCTGTCGTGTTGAAATATTGTAAAAACCATCTAAATTAAAACTCCTAATACTCTAAATTTAATACTCGAAAGAACATCATAACATAACATTTTCAAAAACGCATAGATAATTAATAAAACCCTAAGTGAAAAAGGAATCTTAACTCGCTATCTTATTCAAAGCGAATAAAACTCGTCTAAATTAAAACTCCCACCTAGTATCCCAACATCTACACTTACAAACCATCATGATACAACATATTTTGCGAAAACATACACGCAATCCATATTTCTCGCTAATATTATCCTGAAAATTGATTTATCGTACCAAATCATTCATACTATCAAACTCATTTTTCAATCACCTGCCAATTCCACGTAAAGAGTCACAGAATAATTCCACCAACGTTGCAAGAAGCAGAAAAGCTTCCACTTTAAAATGCTTTTTGTTTCAAGTCGACACGACTTTCCATTCCTGAGATATCGCCGTTCAAAGCCAGACGTAATTTTTGCCGCTTTATGCTTCTGTCTCGCTCGCACAGTCGGACCTCTCGCTCGCACGCTTCACTGACCTGACCCACGAATGGGCCATGTGCGCTGGTCAGTGACAGACGTCTAGCCCACTTTTTTTGCTACTGCCGGCCGGGCGTACGCATTACCACGAAAAAAGGTAGGTCACACCGTCTCCAAGGATTTTAAATCCCATTCATATCATATGTTTTGTACGATATACTTTAAAACGTTATATCTCCGGAACGAATTAAAGTATCGATTTGAAACAAAATGGATTTTCAAGAGTATATCTTCCTCTATCTGCTGAGCATGATAAGTTTTTGGTTTTTTATCTTTTTATAAAGGTTTTTCTATAACCAGAGTTAATCTTATATCGAGAAGTTATATCTCCGGAACGAATTAAGATATCGATTTGAAATAAAATGAGTCTTCTAGAATACATTTTTCTATATCGGAGAATGATAAGCTATATTCTTTTTTTTTTTTTTTGCTTTTTATTTTTGCAAAAGTTTTTTATGATCGCAGATAATATTATATCGCAAGTAGGTTTACCGGTATTTGTTAACGCGTAAAGTTTCTGTGCTGATTAAGAAAATTGCTACGGGCAATAAGACCTTTACAAGTTGTATTAACAATAAAATTATCGATGAATGAAGCGTACAATTTGTACGAAAGAAGACAAGATGAATGAAGTACGAAAAAAGAAATAACGCGAAGAAAAAAGATATCTTTGTATAAATGTTCATAAAAGACGTAAATAGTAACTTCCAATAAACGTCCAAATTTTTTAATATCAAAATTTACGTTTACAAATTGCTAATTCTACTCACGTCGCAATGTTCAGCACTCTCATCCGAACCATCCGGACAGTCGACAACCTCGTCGCATATAAACGCCGTTGGAATACACGCCGGACTTTTGTCGCACTTCCAGTGACCCTCCTGACAAGTATTAACTGCAGTCTTACAAACGATACCTACTGCTTCTTCTGGTTGGCAATCATGCACACCCCAGCTATAAAATGAATCAGAATTTTTATTAAAACATTCAAACAATTTTTTACTTAATTTGCTAGAGTTTCTATGTGATGTATATAGGATATTTTACGATGTTTTAAATTAAAATTACCCATCAAAATCGCATTCACGTAAAGAAGTCTCGTTGCCTCGACATTTCAATTGATCTACCATGAATCTGGTGGCTGGATTCATATTTCCAAAGAATCCCCCTGGCGTAACTTCCAGGGCACCAAGACCAAAACCAAGCTCTTTGCAAATTACCTCGGCATCGATCATTCCAAACCCATCGTCGCACACTTGTCCCCAAACACCCAAAACTGCAAAAATTGTTTACGTATAGTTAAGGGTTGATCTTAAAATAGATAAATCTTTTAGAAAATATTATTTTTTGTCATTTTTATATTTGATCATCTTCAGCGTAAAATTCAATGCACAATGATTTACTTACTTTTAACTTCAACTCTGCCTTCGTAATCATTTTCCGAACCAGCTAGCCGAATCTGATAATCTAAATTTTCTACGGTACAAATTCTTTCATCGCTACGATCATTGCAGTCATTTTTTCCATTGCACACTTGTGTTTTATTTATACACTTGCGGTTCTCACACACGAACATTCCATTGCAATCGATGCTTCTATCCTTCATTTCATAGTAATCGTATTCTTTGTTAGGTTGCAAGGATCCTGTCATTCCCACGTTGCTGTCGCTTAACAGACAAATATTTCCTGCTGCCCTGGAAGTAAAATACATCTTTAAAATATTAAAAATTGCACACTCTATGTTTATATATATATTGTGCAATTTTTAAAGTTCAATTGTTCCTACTATGGCAAATTTGGACTTAGCGGTTAGTAACCTTGTACTTACTTATGTGCAAAGGATCGGCAAGTAAAATCAGCCTCTTTGCATCTGAGGGCGCACGTCTTCAACGGTGTGTTCAACCATTTTTGAACGTCGTACCCTTCTAATTTGTGCTCGGAATACTTTTGAAAAAAGTCCATGTGTGAAACGCAATCTCTTTCGTCTGCTCCATTTGTGCAATCCTTGAAATATATCCAGAGGTCAGTATATATTGCTAATTCATACCACTGTTACTTAATTTCGATTCTATTTTAGTATTGGTATATTATGTACTTCTTCTCCATCGCAAACCCATGGTGAAGGAATACACTCTTCTGGCATACATTCGAAATGCTTAGGCTTGCATCGACCCGTTGTAAGTGATCTCTGAGAACCTGCAGAAACAATTAAACGTAGATGTTAAAAATAAGACGTACAAGAAAACCTGACATAAAGAATTATTAAGCATAATATTAACGACGAAAATTAGAAATTAATACAACGAAAAATTAGTAGTGTCACGCGAATTTTATTATACAAAGCATACCTGTATTTCCACAGGGTGGAATATCACAATGCTCTTGTTCTCCCCGTGATCCCGTATAACACCATGGCCTACTTTCTCTGTTTGGATTTGGATTTCTACAGTAATTGTGGCTTTTCAATTTTTCTCGTACATCTTGATTAAGAACCTAAGACACATAATTTATTGTAACTCTCACGTACATTGTAATCATAAAAGAATATATATGATTAAGTATCTAAAACAATCTTTTCTCATTTCTCAGATTTAAATGAAGAAGAGTAGAAAAATATAAAATATCGTGGGAATAAGTGTAACGAATATAAAAACTAACATGAATTGCGAGTGAGTGAGCAACTCTCGGATCACTCCATGACAAGCAATCCTTCCCTGACGCTGACATATTCGCATTTCCAGCATACTGATTTCCTTTTCCATAAATGCAACCTAAAAACAATGAATAAAAGCTAAATACGATTGACAGAGAAAAATAATTAACGAACAGAAATAAATATTAATTTATAATAATTCGTAATAATAATAATTTTATATTAATTAAGAAAGTTCTCTCACTGTTACAAGCATAAAATTTCCGTGTACATCTTCGGCTAAATAGTTAATTGAGAATCAAGAGGCCAGTTAATTAATTAAAAAGTAAAGTTCGTACCAATGTCGTCGTAGGGCCTCTCGCAAATGTAAGAGTGACCTTTAGCAGAAGAAGCACAGTCCTCGGCATCCCAAAAGAAGTAATCAGCAAGACAAGTCGAGTCTGGCCTCTCGTGACATGGAAATTTGCGCTTCATTACGATACAAAGAGGGCGAATACCCGTGAACGGAGGATGTTTCTTATCCTCCATCCAACCAGGCCACCATTTCGTAAACCTAGTTACAATTAATTGGTATAAGATGTCAATAACCGTGGGTACAATGTTCGTATTTGTGAAATAGTTGAATTCCTCGTTTCAAAATTAAATAAATATCGCAATATCTGCAACATGTACACGTTCTAATATTTTTAACTTATGATCTTAAAAAATATCCATTTAATTTTGATTTCAATTTTACGAATGATAAGACAATGGATCGACTTGATAACGCAAGCTATACAGTATACTTATACGTTTGAAAAGAATTGCAAACCATTGGCAAAAATTACACGTAGGCAAAAATTCAAATTTTTATGGAAGATACCAAATGTATATGAAGAAAGTTTTGAAGATTTTGAAATTTCAGGCGAGAAGGCTTGATAAGGATTCAGAATTCGAAAAATTGCGAACTCTTACAAGAATTTATAAACTGTATCATAATTCGATGTAAGCGACGTTCTCGAACTTAGTCATTTGATGAAAGATATCGACCCTTACTGAATGAAATGTAATTTTAAAAATCAAGATAAATAATGTACCTAAATTTCGCGCGAGAAGAATCTTCCCAAAGCCACAGGGTACGGTTCAAAGTAGTCAAACCAACGCCGGAAGTCATTATCGATGTGACTTCCGGTCGCGTTTGCAAGACCCATTCAGAAATGAAATTGTTCTCCGCTTGGCTGGTAATATCGATGAGTCGTGACTGTCTCTGCGTGCAATAATCGAATGCTTCCTGGTGGTTTAAACCACTCTCCGGTTCAGCTAAGTGATAACATTGTCCTTCGTATGGTATCTCATCCTTACGACAGTGAGAGATGCGATTTAGTACACATCTCACACCAATCGCGTCCCTCTCCACGCGACATTTTTGCTCATGAGTAAATCTGAAAGTCGAAGAATAAAATTTTTGTGTTATTGGTTCAGAAAATGTATATTTAATAATAAATGTTCAGTACATCGATGAGATCATAGAGAAAAGCAAGTTGCAAATATCTTGGATCAATTTGATTGATTTCAAATTATATAAATTCCTTTAGACATATCGATTATATGTAAAGTTGTTCCTCGTTTATTATAATACCCAAAATTAAGAAATTTTTAAAAATAATGCTAGTAATGATTGTTTGATTTTGTTGAGTTAGCCTGATAATATGATTTAAATATTACAATACGCTGTTAAGGCGGATATGAAAAATTAATTTTATCTTCAAGAACCAACTTCAAAAATGTTCCCAGTCTTGATACTGGAATAAGTAAACATATTGCATTCGCAATTATGTAATATTTAAAAATCATCCATAATTACTATTATTATCGCATTAAATCTAAACAGAGAATTTTTAATGCAATAAAATGCATAAAATCGAAATAAGTACTTACACATAAGAACTACAAGCAATAAATCTGTCTTCTAAATAAATATTTTTTGTCGAAATTTACAACACAGCAATGAAATTTCTCAATTCCAGATTACATTTTCAAAAATGTATTCTCGAAATTTCTAAGAACGTATCGTTCGTAATATGCTTCAACGATTTACGCAATATTTGTTTGGAATATCAGCGACGTTAGAAATTTCTTATCTGAAAAAGATAGTAAAGAATCGTCATGGGCATGGCGCCTTACTTGCACGATTGAAATTTGCCCTCGTTGCCTTGACACGAAACAGAATTTGCGGCGATCCAAGTTGGCACTCCGTTTCGAGTATTTCTCCCTTGCCAAGCCATCTCGGCGCCTCTGTAAAGAACAATGGAATTTTTATCACTTCGTGTTCACTCATTCAGGTATTTCATGTTGTTGCAGAATTTCGTATGAGCAACATACATTTTAACAAATTATTCTTATATGGTACATCGTTATACTATATGTGATATATTGAAGAATTTTTGAAAACGGAAAATGTAAACGTAAATCGAAGATATACATACGCAATATAAATGAGAGTGATAAGGAACGCGAAATAAAATCAGAATTCTTATAGAATTCTTATAAGCGCAGAAGTAATTTTCACTGTCGTGCAACTTAAATTAGTATAAAGAGGAAAATACAAAATAAATAAAATTTTTATAGAATTATATCGTAGGAATATTTTTCAGTACCTTAGAATTTAAGTAAATATAAAATGAGAATGGGAAATAAATTTTATCGATTCGAATGTACATTATAAAATACCTGTAATATCCAAGTTGTTTGCATACAACATGTGCTTCCTTCAAAGTCCAGCTGTTTCTCGCATCGCAAACGATTCCCCAACCAGGAGTCGTACCTTGCACTTCGACATATCCATCGTGAGGTCCAGAACCCCCTCTAAGTCGAATCACCTGAGAATACGCAAATTATATTACTAAGAATAAGATACATTCACAGGCTGAAAAACATTCGTAGAATTTGAAGAAGATATTTTCACTTAACCATACAGTAACAAAACGCATAATAGAAGCAAAGAAGATCTTGTTTTATACGTTGAAAATTATTTACATGCTGTATCTCAAGAATGAAATATTTATGTAATAACGATTGTAATGTTGATAAAAATACTACTAAATCATACCTGGCCGGAAATTGGTGTTGGCAAAGTAGTCTTTTTGGAGTGATCTATCGGTTCTACTGGTGGAATGTAGTACGATGGGAATGGTGGCTCCTCTGTAAAATAATATTTCCACTTTAAGTATTGCATTATGATTTATAAAACTGTGGGACAACTATACCTTATCATTTTTATACATAGTCAAAAATTCCTGTATTTAAATTAATTAATAGTATTATTTAAGATATCCCGTAAGTATAACGCGATATGTGTCAATTCTTTCTCTTACTTTCTTCTTTTTTTTGCCTCGGTATATTAATTGAGAATAAAATTACCGAAACCAAAAAACTAAATAATCAACTTATACTATCATATGCACTAAAATGTTATTAAAATTTCAAGATTCAAGCGCAATGTCAAAAGATCATTCCGAAAGCAACTCATGCCAAAAGCCAATCAACTATGTAAGAAACTCAATTGTATAAAATGTGAATCAAAAACTTACCTATATCTTGCTGAATTTCTAGTTGAAACGACTGAATCTTCTTTAAAGACATGAATCAATAGACTGCGGACTTTTATACAATTTCATTTTTTTACGAATAGAACTAGTGAAACGAAACCTACACATCGATTTGTTTCGTCTACTAGAAATTATGACGAATACCTCGCTTTGGATATTTTATACATTTTTGTATGTTACATGCATCTCTGAGTTTTTACGCTGTTAAATTCGTCATAAATGCATAAAAATCCGCGACTTATAAATCAACATTAAACTTACTTTCTTCAAACGGAGCGGCCTCGATATTAAAAAGGTCTAGATCCGAATTCTTCTTATTAATTTTCATAACAGCGGTAGACTCGGTAGTAGCCTGAGTTTTATTCTCATAAACCAATACCGGCTTCCAAACTTTCTTATCATCCAACACGTCCACGTCAGGTTCGTAATCAGGCTCAATGATATCTGGATAATCGTTGCTCGGAGGATTTTCATTCTCTATCCACACAGTAGGCAGGTTCGAATCAGTCGTCGTAATTATTTTATCTTCAGTTGTATCGGTACTCTTCTTTTTCTTCTGCGGTGAAATTGACGCGTACGTCTCTGGAATTCGTTGAGTCGTACTACTGACAGTCGAAGGCAAATCACTGGATCGATCACTGGATTCTTCGTACGGTGGTTCGAGATTACTCGATGGAACGAGTGGATATTGGCCAGTGACGTTTGGTATGAAATTTGGAGAAGTCAGTTGATTTCTGATTGTAAAATTTGGATTAAAATCGTGGTCTGTTGGTTCGATGAGCGGTGGTTGAAGTTCGAAGGATGGAGCAGGTGGTTGAAGTTCGAAGGATGGAGCAGGTGGATGTTGCCAACCAATGGAAAACGTTTTGTTCGTCTGAACAGGTTCATATGGCGGTTGCAAATAGATAGATGGTACTGGTGGATAATAATTATCGCTTCGTGAGAAATTTACTAAACGAGGAAAGAGCAAGGACCAGTTGAGAGATGGATATGGTGGCTGAAGATTCGTTGACGGCACGAACACGTGGTTGTAATTAGTACCTGTTAAATAGAGACCATTTGTTACCATGTTTCAGGTTTTTTGACGTTTCTGTATCGCGTTATCTTTACAGCAAGAGTGCAACATGAGAATTAAAAATAATAATCTACGAATTCTAATTGAATTTCAACAATAAAGAGAAATCACGTTGTTGATTTATATCGTCATGAAAAGATTAACGAATTAAAAATAAATATTACCAGATCCTGCTAAATCTCCAGAACTTGTAAAATTCCTGTAACTCGTCAATTTTGGACGTCGAGGATTATTCCCGTAAGAATATGTATTTTGAGTTTGTGACTCGCCATTGGATTCAGGTGGACGATTAACTGAAGTAATAGGTGGTGGCTGAAGAACTGCAGGTGGTATGTGATCAAAATTCGTCATTTGAGAGTTAACGTAGAGATTCTCATCGTTTTTGCTGAATTCATTCGGCCCACGAAGATCATTAGGCCTGTAAGTTTTCGTTTTCGAATGGCCTTGATTCACTTCGATTTCCTTCGTGATAAAATGACCTCTTGTGCCATTTATATTCACGTATATGCCATTTGGATAAGCAAGTTTCGTTGAATTGAACGAAACAGTTTTTACTCCTGCAATAAAAATTGATAAAATTATACAGAGGGAAGGTCCGTTTTGTTACGAACTATTCAAATGTCAAATGCTATTCGAACTTCAAAGGGTTAAAGTACATTAAATTCTACCCTACCTGGCCCATGTTGCCCTTTACCATGCAGAAAAATATTCATTTTCGACGCCCATGCATCTAACTTTGAATCTGCTTGCTTATCAGCTGTGCTCTGATAAATATCTGTTCTAGATCCCCAATCACGAACCTTGCCATCCTCGGTAGTAGGACCTGAAAGAAAAGATATTCTTAAAATTGTTTATTATTTTATGTTACTTACCCAGTAAACAGTAACAACTTCAAAACACCCAGCAAGGCAATATATTGACAAATACGTATGTTGTTTGTTTCCCCTCTTTCCGACATCTTCATTCAATCACGTGATTTGTTATAAAAAAAAAGTACAAGTAAAGTTTAAATAATTATATTATTTTGTTATAGTTTGTTAAAATATTTACCTGTTTTATGACAATCGTAAAATCGATCAACGTCTTGATTCGCCCGAAATAAAGATTATAGTAATGAATTATAGTATTATAATTTTACTTACGACTTATCGCAAGAGAATTCCTTTAGATGCGTTTTTAATCTACGTGTAATACGGTCCCATTGTTTTTACCTAAACTTTTTAGTCGTAAGATTTTTTTATTTTACTGGATGACGTAAATCAGGATGATTCAATGATGAATAAGAATTAAATGTTCATACTCATAATGCAACAAAACATGCTACGAGAATAATAACCCTCATGCATCAGACCCTATGTGGATTTTTATTTCACTTAAACATGCTTCATTCGAAAGCTCCAGAAAGCAAAATATTCGAGCAAAAAAGCGAATAAATGAATGATCGTTAATAAACATAACAATGCCGAACAAATATTGAAACAATTAATAGAAAATAAATAAAATGTCTCATATATGTACGCAGTATCTTTATGCGTGTAACTTTTGTATACATTTTTTAATTCGTTTTAAAATTCAATATAATCACGATAATCGTGTCCAGAGTGCGAATGTTTATGGATTTATGGGAAATTTCAAAGTGTACAAATGTACAGAACGATAATATACAAAGATATATAAAATATCCACAATATACCTAGTGGGTGACAAATTTCAAAAAATATCGTATAACGTACGATATATATTCATAAAAATTTTCTATAGTAAGCATACAAATACTTTTACGAGCCACTGTGTCAGTCAATCAACCTACGTCACACAAAGTTTGAAGAAAAAAGAATTAAAAATCACCTTGATCCCAGCGTCGATTCTGATTCTGATTCGGCATCTGTCCTGGACCGTATTGACTCCAACTGCTAAGATTAAACCTATTTCCTGTTGGCACTGGTTGCCAGCTTGTCCTATTCTCCACAGTTTGTACATTGAATCTCGAATTGTCATCCACTGACGATTGAGAGTTACCATCAGCGTAAACATTTGGCATGACCGTTTGATCAGATCCCGACTGAGGGAATTCAGGACCACTTCTCCCGTACTCCTGCCTGTTAGGTGTGAACTCTTGGCCTTGATTCACATTAACATGACCTCTGTTAGGAGAATAATCGAATCTTCCATCGGAAGTCTTATGATCCTCAGTCTGATCAAAAGGAGGCTGTTGCGTCTGTTGACCAGATTCTTCTCCATGCCATGGAAAACTAGGAACAGCCTCTGGTATACCTTTGTTATTATGATGATAATGATGATGCTCGTGTTGATATCCGTGATTAGAATGCCAGCTTCCAGTCTCACTTTCTTGGTCTCCGGGTCTTTGAGGAAACGAGTGACCGTTTGGAGGCGCAGGCTGTTGCGATTCAGTGTTTTTATTGGGATCGTAAATTGGTCCGTGCGGATAGTGATGGTGATGATGATAATGGTGATGAGGCCTATTATTATAATCGTTCTGATCAATCGGTCCGTGATTGTGATGGTGCCATTGGAAATGTGGATAGCCTGAACTTGATGTATGACCCCATTGACTATGACCTTTGTGCCGATGGTGTTCATTAGAAGATCCATAATGTGTGTTGGTATTAGTAGGAGGTTGACCTTGAGAATAGGGTGGCATGGCAGTCGTCCAAGCACCTGGTTTCCAGCTTGGTATCCACGTCGGTCTTAAAGAATCCCAATCTGTTCCTGAAGGAGTTATTGTTACTGGATGATTGGGATAACCGTGTGAGTAACCTGGTCTGTAATGACCCTGTGATGTGTGGTTGTGATGGTTAGTATACTGCCAAGTACTGGAGTCTGTGGAACCGTGGGACGACCAGGGTTTGAAGGTGGTTTGTGAACCGACTGAGTGTTGCGTTTGCGATGGTTTATCTGCGTTAAAATAAATTGTATGTTTATTGTACTTTATAGGAGAGTATTGCTTACTATTAAAAAGGGGGTTGAAATAGTTTTCAATTAGTGAACTAGGTAGTATAATTTTATTAAATAAAATAACGATAGGTAAAATAACAAATAATAATTATAGATAAAATTAAATAGTATAACTTTTAGAGTCAATGCTAACAAATATCTCGAATTTGACAATTTTCGAAATATGCCACTCTTCTAATAAACAGACCAATCCCTTGCGATTACTAGGATGTCATTATATTAATATTGGTATAATTGATATAGTGGTATAATATTAGTATAATACCAATATGATAATGGAATAATATTAAAGTACTTATAATATGGTTTATAATAATATAGTATACCTTTGCTGCAACCAGGTACATTGTACGGCCAATCGCAGACAGAAATTGCAGGATTGAAGGCTGTACCGGGTCCACAATCCATGATAAACGTTCCACCTTTCACACATTGAAGAAATTTGTTACATGTATCTGGGTGGGGCAGCAATCCTGTATAATCAACAGGACAAGAGATTTTCCTCGGCTGTTTAGTTGTATGGGATTGCAGTCTTCCGTTTCCATAGTCTTCGTAATCGGGAGGAACCATTGGTGTCGTAACTTCTTCTTTAGATTTCAGCGCATCTATTTGCCAAAAGGTTATTGATATTCTTGAATTAATTCTTAGTATTGATTCATTGTCTATGTTATTGAGTTAATATACACGAGAAATGTCGTTTCTCTGAAGTTCCAAACTTTTATATTTAAATTTTTAATCTAATATATTTTTATAACTGTATATTTTATTACCTTCGCAGCCCCTTACGTTGTGCGGCCAATCACAGACACTCGCGGAAGGATTGAACACAGTACCAGGACCACAATCCATGATATACGTAGCCCCGTTTACACATTGTAAGAATTTTGTGCAATCCGAGGCATGTGCTATCAAACCTGTTATATATGGTGGACATCGTGGTTCCTGTAATTAAAATTTAGTATCACTTGAAAATAGGCGTTTCAATCTTTAATTAATTACTCCTAAATAATTTGAATAAAAATTTTTTTAATTTTGCCGTAAATTTTCGTAAACATAATCGAGTTCTACTATCATTGACGGATATAATAGACTAAATCTTCTCTCCTAAAACAAACATTATAATTAATATTTTGTAATTTTTAAAATGACTGAAATAAGTCTTAGCTAATTAATTTTATACTAATATTTTTTTCAAATTAATTTGAATAATTCAGCAATAATCGATAGCATTTACCAACTAAACAAATTATTTATTTAGAGATATTAAAACTGACCTGTGGTCTTCCGTGCCCGCTGTAACCCTGATGACTACCAGACAGCAATGGTTCGCGACTTCCTGAAGAATCCAAATGCTCATTCGATGGAAAATCAGCCACTTCTCCGCCATAACACTTGACTTTGTGCGGAAAATCGCATTCCAATGTGTCTGGATTGAAAAGAGTACCAGGGGCACATGGTTGAACAAAAGCTCTACCCTTCCAACAGTTTACGAAGAATTTACAATCAGGAGGATACACGAATTGTCCAGTGGAATCGAGTTCCGGACATTGGACACCCCGTTTAGCGTCGTATCGAGCCACTGTGGATTTTTGAATCGTTGAAATAAGAATTTTTTCTTTCCGGGGTTTCTGGAAAATTATACGAAGTGTACGATTATACTCTTAAAGAATATATTCTTCTTTAGATTTTTCTTTCTGTAAAGAATTTAATGTTTTATTGAATATATTTTTTATTCGATCGAATGTAATTCGTAGTAAATAAGAGCAAAGACAGAAAATAAAAGATAGATTATAAAAGTTGTAGAAAGAGTTTTTCGAAACTTGAAATCCTTTCTTAATATTAAAAATTTAGAATTTAAGCAATTGACTCCAGAGGAAGAAGATAATGTTTCAATATCATTAAGGGAAGAGAAGATTCTCTAAAGTATCTCTAGAGTATTTTTGCAATGTTTAAAGTTTAGAATTTAAATAAGAAAAAAGTGAATATATTACTGTGCTATCAGCAGGTACTCCTTCGTAAAAATCCTGGTCATCCTTTATTGTCATCTGGAAATCATTTCCTTTCGAGGCTTCCTGTTTCTCCCCTTTGTCTTTTCCCTTTTCCAAATCATCAGAATCCGGAAAAAGCTTTTTATTTTCCTGTTGCTCGAACTGACCGTACTCCAAGGAAGAACCAGCATGTTGATCGAAATTTGTCGTACTTTGAGAATCATCCGCGACCTCTGTCCTTTGCTCGATATTACTTCCCTGATTTCTTCTCCAAGGACTCCACGTTTTTGCTTCAGCATCTATCACATACGGTTCCCTGGAAGCAGGATTTTCTGGATCTTTCTGCCATTTTGGAGAACGCGATAAATCTTCGTTAGAATCGACTTTGCCAGGCGTATACCAAGGAAGCACTGACTCTCTTCGTTTCGGCGGTTTTGTCGTTATTTCTCTGCGATCGTAGATCTATTTGTAAATGAAAAATGAAGGAAAATGTGTGAAATAAATTATGAAATATCGCATTAACACTGCTGCGATCCTTCGATGTTTATGTTGTAATTTAGCACTTGTTTTGATATAGGAAATTTCATTCTTTTAACATGGGAGAAGCACGTAATAAACGTAGAATGTATTGCCATAAGAAAGGAGATATACGCAGATAGTAATATGCCTGAAATTGTAAAATCGAGAAAATATTGATGAATAATAATCCTCAGACCAAATATTAATCTCATTTAATCTGATCAGCTTGAATCCTTTATTTTCCTAAATTAATTATTACATGTATAATATATTAATAAACATTTGATTTGACATTAAGACTATTATTAAAAAATGTATATATTGTTATCAAAATATTTTGTAAACAATGGTAGATTTATGTCAGATAATAATAAAGTACTTTAGGAAATTACACATCAAATACGCCACATTATACAATTTACAAACTTGATGAATTTCGAATTAATGTCACTTAATCGATTTCCAGCTCTGTAACAACTGTTCACAACAAGAGACAATACTATGTGAAATCAGATATTATTACACGATTATTATATTTCACTTTGCTTTTAACTTTTTATTAAAAAAATATAATCACATGGACGAATAAAATGAATCATCATTGAGATTCACTACCAGAAACATCTTATGATATATTTTTCTGTTTGAATCGTTACAGACTACATTCTTTACTTTTATCGTCCACCTTATCAGCGCTTATCTCGTCAATACACATTAATAAGCTACTTCTTTTCTACGACGATCATCAGTGCGAACGAAAAACAGGAACTGCGTAGAAGTATACGTAAAACAACACATTGTCGCGATTTAGATCTCTTTCGAGAATTAAATTTTAATCTACACTACATGTATCTTAATTTATCTGTTTAATTGTAAAATAATCATTTTGTGAACATCAGATTTTATTCTTTGTAATATTTTCGCTCGGTACTAGACAGAACTGTCATATTTGTCAATTCTTGACTTCAAATACAACAAATTCACAGGAAAACACCTAACTATTAAAACATCAGAAATTGCTCGTAACTATTTTCAAAATTTCAAATTCATTCGTTGCAATATTTTGGCTTGCCAACAGAATACTTGATAAACTTTTTTACTAATTTTTTACTACTTACAAATTATTTTAAATACTTTCTTAAAATGGACAAGAAGGTGAAACCGAAAGAAACCTCTCCAAAACGAGTCAGAAAAAAATTATTCAACTGTACCAGAAAAAAATGTAGGAAGAAGACAGGAATAAAAAATCTTTTCTTAAATCATGCGCAATATTTGTACATTACCGTTCATAATTATTCGAACGATTTCAAAAATTAATGGGCACCGTTTAAATAATTGATGTTTAGGATGTTGGTTAATTTTTAACCAATGATACGATCAAAATAAAATCTAACAATTTTACTTTACAGACTACGAAAGTTTATATAAATTCATATTTGTACAAAGGAAAATAACGAAATGAAGCCTAGACAGGTTTGTTTCGTCCATTGAATTTTGTAACAAATAACTGGATATTTTATATATTTTTGCATTTTTATATCGCGTTGTTGGGAAAATTCGTAGAGAAATTTAAAGACAATTTTAGGTACGATAACATAAGTATATAACTTTTTCCTTAGTTTTATCCTACGTACAAAATGATTTCGTGAGATCTTTTCCGTAAAACTTTTCGTTCTTTTTAGCAACATACCTATTGTACGTTTCTCCAATACCCTTAAATTCCCCATAAATGAATAAACATACGCGGTCTAATAATTATATTATAATTATAACACACAATCACGTCACGTTACAACAAAACATGAATGCATTATTTATCATGCGTTGCATTGTATATAATAATAATATAAGAATAAAAAGAAAGTAATTTATAATTTAATAGACGTGTCGTTCGAATAATAACGAGCGGTACCGTACATGTGACCACGTCAGAGAAAATCGGCTCTTGGAACAGACGACGATCTTCCGGTGAGGTGTTAAAATCACGTGACCGTTCAAGTATCAATCCAATGGTAAAGAACAAGAGAAGAAGGGAGAAAGAGCACGTACCGCGTGTGTGACAACGACGACGAAACAGAGAACAGCTAGAGCAACGAGAAAACGACCGGTATACCGCGACATCATCCTCGACGCTTTGACGATACTGCTGGCATTACGGCAAGCTGACCCGGTTTTCCTTATGAAACTGTAGTTCGCGTTCACAATTGCGTCCCATACTTACCGAGAAGCTGCACATAGTCGGCGTTCTTCGGAGAAAACGAGCTACGCCACGATGGACGGAAAGGGTTATCGGTCGCAGAGGTCGAGGGTCAATGCAGAAATCAGCCGCTGGGAAAAAGAATCTCAGGCTGACGCAAAGGAACGAGCAAGATGACGAATAATCGAAACGGTTCGAGCGAGACCGGCTGGCACAACCGGAGGAAAAGAGAAAAACTTCATCGCGTTGGGTTGAAGGAAGACGGACGAACGTGCTTTTATCAACATGCTAATAAAGCGAGTGCACACAGAACTGTTTGCCAATTGACTCCAGAGTGAACAAATTGGCCCTCGTTGACAACGATCAGACACGAGGGCTGATAAAGAGGCCGACTGTGCGGCTGCAAACACTACACCAGCGGAAATACGAAAGGAGAAAGAGACGGAGATGATGATTCACTTTTATTTTTTCAAGGGTTTGATGAAGGGTTTTTCAAGGATAGATGAACGAATGATCGTTCGAGCGAATCGATCTTTTAAGCTTCTTCGGTGGAAATAGAGAGTCTGATGATGAAATAGCTAGGTCGCTAATTGTCACGTCATAGATAACGATATATCGTAGAATACCTCGAATCCATTCAAATATGATTCGATACTTGGAACGTTTGAAAATCACGAACTGTAGGTCTTCGTTGGTCTTTAAGATTTTGATGAGTCTTGATTATTGTTCTTGATGATTTTGAGAGATTTAGCTTCAAAGACTCGAAAGCTTAGTGGTTACATTTAATACTTTATACGAGTGTATACATGCCTTTTCGATATATCATATTTTATATAATATCGTAAATTTATTTTCGATATTATGGGTATATAATATAAATATTATAATACTATTAACAATATACAATTGAAACGTTTTAAGATTCATTAGAACTGCGAGGACTGAAAACTTGATATAACTTCAGATCCCCAGACTCGACATTAAAAACCGACAGGACTTGAAAAAGTTTCACGTATCAAATTATATACAAAATGATTCGCATTTCGTTTCCAGCGTTGAAAATCTTCGAATCTCGTCGAAATTGAGATTTAAACTCGCATCGCCAATGGATTGATGCCACTCCCAATATCTCGCTCAAAATCTTTTAAGTCGCCGTTTCCTCAGTCGAAACATTTCTAATTTTCTGCTCGACTGATTTTACGGCCTTGCTATTTCACCAGGAGGGGCTATACTTCTTTGGCGAACGAAGACCACAATCGACGAATCCGCGTGCTTGATGTGAACAGGTGCCGGCCGCAGGGTCGAACACGTAAGTGGACATACAGCTTCCTAAGTTGCACACGCCTTTCCGACATACCAAATATTTCGTACAGTCTCCTGGATATGGTAGCACGTCGAATTCTTTCCCTTCCTGTGAATAAACAAGTACGATGATAAAAATTGTGATTGGAGATAAAACATTAAGAATATTCATAAGAAGAAATAGTACGGTAGAACTCCGCTTATCTGAACTCTGTTTATCGAAACAAAATTTTAATTAATGTTCGATTACTTGATCCAATCGTGTTTTTTATTCGGAACAAATTTGTATAATTGCAAATATGTATAATTTCTCATCTTATGTACGTATATGCGGAAGAATTTCTTAAAATATTGAGAATCTTTTCACCTGTTAAAACAAGAGATTGACTTAACTAAATTGCTACCGGTTGTATCCACTCGTTTGAACTTCTATTTATATGTGAGTGTGTAAAGGAAGAGTAATAAGTAATGGAGGAAATAAACTTCAGTCAAATGAACAGTTCTTGCCTCAACGAGTTTACATAAATGGAATTCTGCAGTAATATTATCTTGATTATGTTCTGTTTCAGTACTGAAACTGAAAAACACGTCAAAATGACAAATTACGTGTCTTTTTGGCAAACATTTAATTTACATTTTAAAAAATTATAAAAAATTATTGCTAGAATATTAGTAAAGATTATTATTTACAGATTGTATACATATATACAGGCGCTTTTAGAAAAATTAATATTGATATTATAATTAATATTATTCAAATAGGAATATACAGGGTGGTTGGTACAAACTGGTGGTACAAACGGGAAGGGGGTGATTCTACGCGAAAAAAAAGTCGAAAATACAGAATAAAAATTTTTTTTTAATTTTCTTTTTTTTAATTTTTCCATCGAGACAACGATCTACAGTGAGATCCGTTATAACGAGACGCGATAAAGTGCACGCGTACCGAGCGAAAATTCAAAGCCAATTTTCTCGAAAACAAAGCCTCGAACGAAAAATGTTTATTATTCTATATTTTCGACTTCTTTTTTCGCGTAGAATCACCCCCTTTCCGCTTGTACTACCAATTACCAACCACCCTGTATACGTCACACTAGTTTAATTGTAATTATTTATCTATAACACATATATTTATTGTAAGTATAATTGGTGAGAGAATTGTGAAGTGGAACTCATCAAAAATCAATTATTTATAAATAATTCCTAGACATTCGTAAATTCTAAGGTATTTTTATAAATTCGTTCACCATATGTAACAAGTGGAAAAATTCGGAACAAATGATTGTGACAGTTAAAAACATTTGAAAATTAAGACGTCAAGAATAATTCATGACATAAAAACATATGTAGATAAAATTATGTTGAAATGAGAAAAACCAGATACTAGGAAATAACTTTAGGTCTATGCTATCAGCATAACATAGACCTTACGTAATAAAAAATCTGTGATGTAAGAGGAAACTGATAAATATTACTCAATTATCAATACTATAGTATGGTATATAATAAAACAATTTTTAATAATAATTTTGTTTTTCCGTTCATTGAAGAAATTAAAAATCTTATAACGTCGAAATATCGTTAAAAATTTGACTAACACCTTACGAGATTGATTAATATATGGTGAATATATTTTACAAATAAATAAAAGGAATAGGCAGTAAAAAAAATGAACAAGACTACGAGATAGATTCTATAGTGATATAATACCCTGAAATGACAAGAAATAAACATCAAGATTACTCTAAGTACCCGGGAATAAGATAACAATAGCAGTTGCGAAAAGGAATGAACATCAATTTGCTTTAAAAGCATAAACAGAATTAGATATACAGCTGCATGAACACAGTGTAAATTTGTACGAGTATAAACTAAAGAAAAGTTACAATCATATCGGTAATAATTATTAATAACAAAAAGACCTTCATTACCACTTTCATTCTCTTAGCAGTCGACACAGTGAAACAGTAACATAATACACACAGTAAGATCAACGATCGAGATGACATCCTCTTGCATGCAAAATGACTGTTGTATTTGTTATATTTAATTGTACAGTACACTAATGATCAAATTGTTTCGGATAAGCTGTCAGCGTGGAGATCACGTTTCAGTGAATTAACAGCAAAATTATTTGACGAATATTTTTTCCTCTTTTTTTTTATGTGTTATAAACTATTTGGTCGATTATCTACTTGATACACGAACGAAGGTCGTCTGTAGACTGTGCGCTCTTTGCGAGCAGCAGCCAGCGTGCATAGCACTTCCGGCACTCGTTGCTAAATTAGCAATTGTCAGCGACAGATACTCGTATTATAATATTGCTCATCGATAATTATATTTGATCGTTGAAGATACGTGTGATATTTGCCGAGACATTGAAATTTTATGAGGTACATAATTATCTCTAATATATTCCAATTAACCGAAAGCGTATATATATATGTAGGTGTATATGTATATAAGTAAGTACATACACACGTTATACATAAATTATGTACGATTTAATTGTTGAAAAATTTGAAACCATAATAAAAATATGAAATAATTAATGATGTGAATTGAAAATAAATTTTATTCAATTATTCCACTTTTTTAAATTGTTTCACTTCTTCACATTCTCTCGCTGGTACGTTTGTTCGTAAAAAAGAAATACATTTGATATGGCGATATATTCTATAAATATCTCAAATTGTTGTTGCACAAATTATCCACGTTGCATACAATCCTGACGATTTTGGAGAGGATAGTCACAGGTGCCGATGTTTGGATTAAATTCCGTGCCTGTGCCACACTCCAAAACGAAACAACCGCTACCATCGCAATGTTGGTACTTCCTACAGTCGCCTGGGTAAGGATAAACTTCCCCCTAAAAATAATTAAGTTAGAACATGCTGTCATATGTACTCTACATAAATTAATGAACTCATTAACGTATATGTCTATTTCCTCGACTCATCTAGCATAGCAACTTATCTACCTCTATCATCTTATATATTATACAAAATGACAAAATTGATGTATGACAGTTACTAAAATATTATGTATAATTGAAAGTATTCTAACAAAATACGCACAGCTACTAATCCACAAAAGAAGATGATACAAAGAATGCTGCACAGCAGGATCATAAAGAGCTTGATAACAGCCATGACTTCCGCCTGTAATTCGCTACTCGAATCTGTTGAATCTACTCTAATCCGTTCCACAAAGTACGCTATTTGCCAATGAAATGGATTTTATATATACTGCATCATGCAAGCAAAAATAAAGAACGTAATTTAATACGTTATCTCGATATGAACTATTTCGCCGACTTCACATCTATTTTCATTATCGAACATACGCATGATACATTTTTTCCGACCTTATCGTCATTAAATAGCCAGGATCAAGGATACGAACAACAAGTTCAAATATAATTACATTATATTATGAGAAAAATTTTAAAATGCGATAGGAAGAAATGAGATAGAAGGAAATAAAATAGAGATAGAAGTGGTGATACTAAGCGAAAATAGTGTAACCTTTTCATTTGTTATACAAATAAAATACAATTACTCACAACAATCGAACAATCTTTAAAACAGAATAACTTTTCGAAAATTGGATCAATCGACTTGAATTTTTTTGGCTAGTTAAGAGGATTAGCTTAATATATGACGTGTAAAAAAATGTAAGAAAATTGCAATTAATGGGAATAGAAAATAGTAAAAGTCTCTTTTTACAACCTTTTTATCTGAATCTGTACATATTTACATAATTTAAATACCTTTTACAGACTTACGTCAGTTATACACATGCCGAGTATTTCATCGAAATTGGTTAATGTCTCTATGAGCTAGAAACGGTTTAAAATAGTGAAAATCGCAGTTTTCCACGACTTTCGGCCTAAAGTCTAAGAGTGACCTCAGACGATCGATAATATTGTCGATATTTCAACTTTTTCAACATCATCGCGGTTTGTCAATAAATACTGACAATATTGACAATATGCAATATTTATTGACAAACCATATTTCCCTCGCACGTTCAATATTTATTGATGACACATTCGGTTTCAAGTTAGCGTTTGTTCAACGATATCGAATAAGAAGAAAATTTGTGTAGCCATTATTTCAGCATTATCAATGAAGAAACCAAGGAAGAAGAGGGCTGAACATGAGCTAGGAAGTACTTTTTAAAAAGAGACATGTCTTCGCGTATAAATTTACTGAATGAAATTCGAATATTCACTCCAAAAGGTTTTCAAAATTATAAATAACTCGTGTTTCCCACTCTTTGATTTTCTAAAAGAGGATCTGCGTATAACTCATCACATCCTGGACACATCGACAACTTCTTTGTCTTTTATTACTTTTTTCTTTTCCATTGTTAATATTTGTTTCTTCTCTTCGTCTTAATTAATGATAAGATGCTAGATAAAATTTACAGGAAACATTTACAGGGTAAATTTGTTATGTGGATAAATAATACCAAAATAACGTGGACATAGAATTTATTTTAAACCACACGTGATTTCAATTCTAGACCCTTATAAACGCCAAAATTTACATCCCATAGAGTTTCGATCTTCGATATTACAATAAAAATTATTACATTTCATCAGAAATATTACTGTAATCTCAATTCGATAACGATTATGCATGATTTATTCTAATTATTGTATTCGTGTGTATTAATAATATGATTATTGTTTATTCGATTTCACTTTATTAAATTTCTTCACATTTAAGCTTGTGTATGTCTTCGTCAAAAGAAAACGTATCCTCGTTTGATATGGATTATCTATAGCCACCTTTTCATCAAAAAGGAACGTCCTCTGAGAGTAATACAGATATAAGGAGCAGGATAACGGATTTTACAATCGTTGACAACACAGGATGTTGAACAATCATCCACATGTGGACGTAGACCAACTTGGGTATCTGGACTAACTAGAGTTTCCTCCTAAAAATGATCGTATTATAATATACATTATTATTTTCTATTAATATTTTCTTTCTATTCATTTTCTGGCATATTTTTCTTTCGTGTCAATACTTAAGCAAATACTTATCAATTAGAAATATAGCATTATTAAATTTCCATTGATAGTTATCAGTTACATTTACCAGAAGTACAATCTATCAGAAAATGACAAAATTTATAAGTAACAGTTACTAAAATATTAACAATAAATCTGTGTAATTATAAATATTGCGACGATATACGTACAACTGCTAATCCACGAAGGAAGCTGATACAAAGAATGCTACAGAGAAAAAATGTAGAGAGTTTGATAAAAGCCATGACTTTCTTTGTAATTTGCTTCTCGAATCTGCTAGTTCATTCCACAAAATACGTTCTCCGTTAGTGAAATGCATTTTATATGTATATACTATATCTTATAAGAATAAATGAAAAAAAATAAGTCATTTAGATACGAACTTTTTCGTCGAATATCATTGTCTCCACAATATGCCCAATGCAGTGACTCAAATTAGTAGAAGTAAAGAAAATATTCTTGTGCTAAGTACGCGATAAATGTAAGGGACTTCGGCTATTGGTTGAAGAACGATAATCAATTGTTGAATTCAAGAGGGGATTTACTCACCATGGGGCATTGTCGTATTATAGGACTTGCTTCGACTTCTCGAGTTTATGACACAGACGACGCCCAGAAAATTATAGTATCTGAAGATTGTGAGTACGCCCCTCCGTTTACTTACTTGCACTGAGTCGAATGGTTGGATGGATTGATGTTATAATCACTAATTAAAAGATAGACACTAAAATATGTAATTTTTAAAGATTAATACTTATCGATTTCGCAAAATCTAGGTTCAGCATGCCGATGATAAACGTACATAAGAAATATAAAACAATGAGTGCTCTGAAAAAAATTCCTGTGTATCCTGCTGCTATATTCTAAAAGATATATCGCACTGATACAATGATATTCACATCTGAATTGAAGAAAGTAAATGCTTCCATATACACCTCTATTGTAAATAACGCGGCTCCATCCTCAAATTTAAATCTCTAATTTTCATGGAACTTACGCACGATGTATGTAGGTCCCGAAAAAATGTTTCCTACGTTTTTATTTTATGTGCTGATATTTTATGATGATAGTTAATAACACATTGATAATTATTCTTCTTTATTTGACTTCGTACTAAATGATATTACATTCAACATAGGAGAAAAATATTTCATCTTGTTTCTATGCTTTTGCTACGGATCGCGTAAAAGAAAATTTGCCTAATAACCGTTTATGTAATTCTTGATATGGATGCCGAAGGTCAGAATCAGTTTTAGGTATTCTGAGTAGCTTACGGACTTTTGGAGATAGGAGTACTACATTTTGTAACAGTCCATAGCAATTATTGGTAATCCAAAACAAGGATAAACACTAAAACATTTAATTTGCAAACATTAATAGAATAAGTAATAACACAGAATAAAGTAATTATTCATTTTGTCAAAATGTAGATACAACATACCGATGGTAAGCATGCCATGATAGGCACGAAACAAACAATGAGTACTCTACAGAAATTCTTGTATATTCTGTTAAATCTTGAATCCTTTATTTTAAATAATACGTAATTTACCTAAAAAAACGTATCATGTTGGTACAGAGATATGTAAATTAAAGAAAATAAATACTTGCATACATACTTCCATTGTAACTAAGTGAGAAAATCCAAAAAGTATAGGCAATATAAAAAAGTGATCTATGTCTACAAGATTTTGTATCCATCCGAAACCACCGGTAGTCAATTCTTGGAAATCCTTTACGGTGGCTAGCATTAAAATTTTTAAGACTTAGTTTTGTTGCTATTTTTGTATTAAAAACACTATATACAAAATACATCACTCACCAGGACTTATTTGAGGCAATACGTAACACATATTCCTTACTGCAACTGAGAAACTTATCCATATCGGTGCTTGCAATAAAACCATTGCAACGCTTTTAAATGGATGACAATTGTCTCTTATATATAATCTTTTTTGTTCCTTAGAAATCTATTACGCAAAGTAAAAAATTGATATACTTGATATAAATAGAAGAATATAATAGTGTGTATCCAAATACTTTACATTTAAATACCTCGCGTGTATATAAAGCAATCGCACGTACTGGACTCAATTGGGACGATACTACTTCCTTATCCACTTTCCTTCTTACTTTCTCTGCAATATCCATCATTTCATCTTTCAAGTTTTCCTGTTTTGCCCTATTGTGAAGCTAGATAAAGATCACTTAAGAAATATATATTCCAATCTTAACACTAACTTAACTTAATTTAATAACATAGTAATGATACTCACATCGAGTATATTTAATGGTAGATTTATAAATGTTCTTGTAATAATTGTGGTAAGTATGATACTTGCCCACCATGGTAAACCTGTTTCATAATGCATGTATCTAAAAGCTTTGGTGACCCATTCTACGCATATACTTTCAGATATCATTTGGAAAATGCCACCATTGTATTTAATAGCTTCATTTACAACTGCGGATCCTGAATTTGAATATTGTCTAATACTATTTACAGCAGTAGGATAACAATTGCTAGGAATTTTTGAAATTAGTACTACATCCTTGTTACATAGTAACGATCTTTGAAATACTTTTGGATGGAGTTGCTGATGCAAAACAGCATTTTGTGTATTTGAAAAGTTCCTCTTATTTGAAAAATATCCCATTAATACTTTACTATTTAAAAAATGATTCTTATACACATTTAGGGGAGAAGCATTGGAAATATAATGAATAGAACGAGGATGTTTTACAAAAATGCTGCTATTACATTTAAAATCCAATTGAATTTTTCTAAATATTCGTACATTCATGGTTACACAATAACAATGAACAGTTTAAATAAATAAGTTTAAAAACTTGAATAAGTTCAACAATGAATAAGTTTAAAAAAAACTTAGTTTTCCTTCGTGTTTACATCTATAAATATAATGTTCCTATATGTACATGACAATTACATCGAATAGGTTAGTTACTAAACTAACCTTAAATCGTTCACGATTATGCATGATTCCTTCTATTCCTTATGTTTAAATGTATTTAATAATATAAGAAGAGTTAGAATGTTTTGTATATTTCTTTATTAAAATTACAATACAAATTACATATTTTGGAGAAAATAGGTATTACGTGAAAATAGAAACCAATAAATAAATAAGCAATAAAAATCAATCTTTTAACATTTCTACAATTCATTAAAATAGATTAACATCACTGTAGTATCATTATTGTTAACAAACCTAAAAACAAACAAAATACTTTAAATTATACCATTGACGAGATACAAAATAGATGTGACATTCAATACATTTTCGTTACCGATTTACTATGGTAGTGGTTTGAAATAAAACTAAATTTTCCTATTAAATTATTTAATTGTAAAAATTATTGTATAATTCTTTAAATGTAATAAATAAGAATAATGTATAATTCTATTAATAATATTAATATAACGTAATTAAATAATATTGCGCGTCTTGTAATATTCTTATAAATGAATAATATATACAATTCTACTAAAAAATTGTTAATATTTTCAAAAATACGATAATCTCTAACTTATATACGTAATGCCGCAAGTTTCACTATACTGTTATAATGACATTTTTATAAGTTATGTTTATAAATCCACTTATATCGGTAAAACAGGAACATGTCGGTAAGTTGTTATAAATGTACGTGTATCCTGTACCTGTTCGGTGATAATTCTTATATTTGCCGTAGAAAATTGCAGAGGGCGTAAGAAACACACCGGTTTACCATCTGTAGATAATGATAGTAACGGTGTAAATTATATGCATACGTTTTACGTAATCGGATAAAACTATAGTTCCAGTAAATGTTTTAAGTTTATAAAATAAAATGTAGTTATAAGAATAATTTCATCTTATTTTATAGTTATCATTCATTACTGCATAATTATCATCTGTGATAACCGTTTACTACTTAACTTGCAATGGTAACGATATAGTTTCTTATAATAATGCAACATTTAAAATTCCTTTAAATTCGAATAATATATTCCAGTTTTAAGAAAACTACAAAATTTGATGTGATTTTGCCGCCTCATTGTAATAACAGCTGTATATATTACTATCGATGGTACATAATAATATTTATCAAATAATAATCATCAGCGACAAAGTAATAACAATTTTGTATGAAATAAAAGTTACAAACATTACGTAATATTTTTTTTTAAATGTACATCTTTAAGGATAGACAAAATAAACTGCATCTTTAATTAATCATATCCTTATCGATAAATATATCTGATATAAATATATCATTGTACTGTTTATACGTATATTATAAATGGCGATAAAATAACTTTTAAAAGCTAAATTAAGAGATATAAATGCGTATATAAAAAGCGTAATTATCGAATGTAAACAACTTTACTTCGATAACGCGTATCATACATCTAATTTACAATTCGTGAAAACGATACCCCATAGGGGACCCAAAATACTGGAAGAAGAAAAAGAAAGATGCGACTAAAGGATCAGAGTATCGACACACACGTATATATACGTATAACACATCCTCGACAAAAGTTTCTCGAATCGAAGCACAATGTTCATTTCACGGCTTGAGGATTGGAGGGAGGAGGTCGCGCGTCGAGTATCTTTGCATTAACATTTACCATCCCTTCTTTTTCTGTAAACCGCAGTTCTCGCATCATCCTAGCGATTTCCAGGCATCCCCCCGTTCCAGGAAGTGGAAGAAACGTCGGCATACCATTTCAACGACAAATGGCATCGCAGCCCTAACAGCCACCAACGACGTCGGTCTAATCTCGAAGCAGCGGTTGGTCGTCGAGATCCTGGCTCTCTTCCCTCGTCGAATGGGCGTGCTGGAAACGCCCATCCACCCTTGCTACATAGATCTGCACCCCTGTGCCATCTCAGGGGTGGAGTCGACCAATGACACGGTGGTAACGTTCGTCTGACAACGTGGCCTTTGGAGCCGCCCCCGCATTTCCCGTGGCTAACTAGCACTACCCCACTATAGTCGCGTCAGCCACTCGGCCAGCAAGTCCCCGGGCCGTCTAGTCGCCCGTTGGAATTCCCCACCTATCCTCCTGTCACCTTCCTCTGACCCCTCTTCATCGATGCTACCACCCTCCAATTTCAGGCCAACGTACCAGCCACATTGAAGAAGTGGTGTACATCGTGCAATAGCCTGACTAAAGCCGCATCCAGCGATGGTTATAACCTTATCCCCCTTTCTGAGTGCGATGATCGAACAATTTCATTTATATGTATAAAAAATTACGTTCATTACTTACGTGATTTAATCAAACTATAAAATTCAATATCACGTTGTAATGATCCTCTGTTAGGGGAAAACACTTACAAATTCAACAATTGTAAGTCTCGTATAACAATCCTCCGAATTTTAAAAAATATATCTTTTATCCTGCACCGCTTTGAGGGCTGATGCAGCCACGAAATAATTAAGAAATCTGGAAAGTTATTATTCCACTCACAGAGTCTTTTGTTACATATAGATGCTACAGAAGAAATAAGACAAATATCATTGCAACTAATAGTAAATATTAAGTCAGATCTTTTACGAGATAAATTATTTTCCGTTAAATCAGAAAAATACCACTTCTCCTGACTGATGAGCTTTCGTTCCTTATTAATGTACAAAAGCAAAAGTATACGTATAAAGGAAGAAAAGTGAAATAAAACAATCATCACCAAATAAAAGCAAATAGTAATAAATTCGTCCATCAACTGCAAAATCCCATCAAACAAACACCTACATCGCGAGACGATCGAATCTTTCGCTATCCCCGTGTCGACGTCATAGCTACGCCGACTCGCGGCCGTTTAGGAACTTCTGTACGTGTGTTAGGGATCGCCCACACCCTGGCCAACCATCCTCTCCTAGAAGTACGTCGAGCGTGTCGAAGAACGACCCGTGATTCCAGCTAGTATGGCTACGGTCAGGGGAGATAGGCAACTCCGACAGCCAATCGGGCAGCAGCCCCTATATACGTGCGTATAACGAACGTACAGACGCACCGTGCACACACATCGATACGAGCAGCTCGTACACACGAACGCGAACCGCGGTACCCGCCCTTCCCAACGAGATGAGTAGCTACGCCGAGGCTCGAAGCCACCTCGTCACGGAGAACGCTTCGAGACTTCGCGCGACTCCCT